AGAGCACGCCCCATGCACAGCTCCATATATATCCAAATAGGGCTAAAGGTGAGTGTTTAAAGCAAATATAACTTACGTGATGTCGTGATGAAGAGCACGCCCCACGCACAGCTCCATATATATCCAAATAGGGCTAAAGGTTAGTGTTTAAAGCAAATATAACTTACGTGATATCACGATGAAGAGCACGCCCCATGCACAGCTCCATATATCCAAATAGGGCTAAAGGTTAGTGTTTGAAGCAAATATAACTTACGTGATGTCGTGATGAAGAGCACGCCCCATGCACAGCTCCATATATATCCAAATAGGGCTAAAGGTGTGTTTAAAGCAAATATAACTTACGTGATGTCGTAATGAAGAGCACGCCCCGTGCACAGCTCCATATATATCCAAATAGGGCTAAAGGTGTGTTTAAAGCAAATATAACTTACGTGATGTCGTGATGAAGAGCACGCCCCATGCACAGCTCCATATATATCCAAATAGGGCTAAAGGTGTGTTTAAAGCAAATATAACTTACGTGATGTCGTGATGAAGAGCACGCCCCATGCACAGCTCCATATATATCCTAGGGCTAAAGGTTAGTGTTTAAAGCAAATATAACTTACGTGATGTCGTGATGAAGAGCACGCCCCATGCACAGCTCCATATATATCCAAATATGGCTAAAGGTGTGTTTAAAGCAAATATAACTTACGTGATGTCGTGATGAAGAGCACATCCCATGCACAGATCCATATATATCCAAATAAGGCTAAAGGTGTGTTTAAAGCAAATATAACTTACGTGATGTCGTGATGAAGAGCACGCCCCATGCACAGCTCAATATATATCCAAATAGGGCTAAAGGTGTGTTTAAAGCAAATATAACTTACGTGATGTCACGATGAAGAGCACGCCCCGTGCACAGCTCCATATATATCCAAATATGGCTAAAGGCTAGTGTTTAAAGCAAATAAACTTACGTGATGTCGTGATGAAGAGCACGCCCCATGCACAGCTCCATATATATCCAAATAGGGCTGAAGGTGTGTTTAAAGCAAATATAACTTACGTGATGTCGTGATGAAGAGCACGCCCCATGCACAGCTCTATATATATCCAAATATGGCTAAAGGTGTGTTTAAAGCAAATATAACTTACGTGATGTCGTGATGAAGAGCACGCCCCATGCACAGCTCCATATATATCCAAATAGGGCTAAAGGTTAGTGTTTAAAGCAAATATAACTTACGTGATGTCGTGATGAAGAGCACGCCCCATGCACAGCTCCATATATATCCAAATAGGACTAAAGGTGTGTTTAAAGCAAATATAACTTACGTGATGTCGTGATGAAGAGCACGCCCCATGCACAGCTCCATATATATCCAAATAGGGCTAAAGGTGTGTTTAAAGCAAATATAACTTACGTGATGTCGTGATGAAGAGCACGCCCCATGCACAGCTCCATATATATCCAAATAGGGCTAAAGGTGTGTTTAAAGCAAATATAACTTACGTGATGTCGTGATGAAGAGCACGCCCCATGCACAGCTCCATATATATCCAAATAGGGCTAAAGGTGTGTTTAAAGCAAATATAACTTACGTGATGTCACGATGAAGAGCACGCCCCATGCACAGCTCCATATATACCCAAATATGGCTAAAGGTGTGTTTAAAGCAAATATAACTTACGTGATGTCGTGATGAAGAGCACGTCCCATGCACAGCTCCATATATATCCAAATAGGGCTAAAGGTGTGTTTAAAGCAAATATAACTTACGTGATGTCGTGATGAAGAGCACGTCCCATGCACAGCTCCATATATATCCAAATAGGGCTAAAGGTGTGTTTAAAGCAAATATAACTTACGTGATGTCGTGATGAATAGCACGCCCCATGCACAGCTCTATATATATCCAAATATGGCTAAAGGTTAGTGTTTAAAGCAAATATAACTTACGTGATGTCGTGATGAAGACCACATCCCATGCACAGCTCCATATATATCCAAATAGGGCTAAAGGTGTAATATATAAAGCAAATATAACTTACATGATGTCGTGATGAAGAGCACGCCACATGCACAGCTCCATATATATCCAAATATGGCTAAAGGTGTGTTTAAAGCAAATATAACTTACGTGATGTCGTGATGAAGAGCACGCCCCATGCACAGCTCCATATATACCCAAATATGGCTAAAGGTGTGTTTAAAGCAAATATAACTTACGTGATGTCGTGATGAAGAGCACGCCCCATGCACAGCTCCATATATATCCAAATAGGGCTAAAGGTTAGTGTTTAAAGCAAATATAACTTACGTGATGTCGTGATGAAGAGCACGCCCCATGCACAGCTCCATATATATCCAAATAGGGCTAAAGGTTAGTGTTTAAAGCAAATATAACTTACGTGATGTCGTGATGAAGAGCACGCCCCATGCACAGCTCCATATATATCCAAATAGGGGTTAGTGTTTAAAGCAAATATAACTTACGTGATGTCGTGATGAAGAGCACATCCCATGCACAGCTCCATATATATCCAAATAGGGCTAAAGGTGTGTTTAAAGCAAATATAACTTACGTGATGTCGTGATGAAGAGCACGCCCCATGCACAGCTCCATATATATCCAAATAGGGCTAAAGGTGTGTTTAAAGCAAATATAACTTACGTGATGTCGTGATGAAGAGCACGCCCCATGCACAGCTCCATATATATCCAAATAGGGCTAAAGGTTAGTGTTTAAAGCAAATATAACTTACGTGATGTCGTGATGAAGAGCACGCCCCATGCACAGCTCCATATATATCCAAATAGGGCTAAAGGTTAGTGTTTAAAGCAAATATAACTTACGTGATGTCACGATGAAGAGCACGCCCCATGCACAGCTCCATATATATCCAAATAGGGCTAAAGGTGTGTTTAAAGCAAATATAACTTACGTAATGTCGTGATGAAGAGCACGCCCCATGCACAGCTCCATATATATTCAAATAGGGCTAAAGGTTAGTGTTTAAAGCAAATATAACTTACGTGATGTCGTGATGAAGAGCACGCCCCATGCACAGCTCCATATATATCCAAATAGGGCTAAATGTGAGTGTTTAAAGCAAATATAACTTACGTGATGTCGTGATGAAGAGCACGCCCCATGCACAGCTCCATATATATCCAAATAGGGCTGACGGTTAGTGTTTAAAGCAAATATAACTTACGTGATGTCGTGATGAAGAGCACGCCCCATGCACAGCTCCATATATATCCAAATAGGGCTAAATGTGAGTGTTTAAAGCAAATATAACTTACGTGATGTCGTGATGAATAGCACGCCCTATGCACAGCTCCATATATATCCAAATATGGCTAAAGGTTAGTGTTTAAAGCAAATATAACTTACGTGATGTCGTGATGAAGAGCACGCCCCATGCACAGCTCCATATATATCCAAATATGGCTAAAGGTTAGTGTTTAAAGCAAATATAACTTACGTGATGTCGTGATGAAGAGCACGCCCCATGCACAGCTCCATATATATCCAAATAGGGCTAAAGGTATGTTTAACGCAAATATAACTTACGTGATGTCGTGATGAAGAGCACGCCCCATGCACAGCTCCATATATATCCAAATAGGGCTAAAGGTGTGTTTAAAGCAAATATAACTTACGTGATGTCGTGATGAAGAGCACGCCCCATGCACAGCTCCATATATCCTAGGGCTAAAGGTTAGTGTTTAAAGCAAATATAACTTACGTGATGTCGTGATGAAGAGCACGCCCCATGCACAGCTCCATATATATCCAAATAGGGCTAAAGGTGTGTTTAAAGCAAATATAACTTACGTGATGTCGTGATGAAGAGCACGCCCCATGCACAGCTCCATATATATCCAAATAGGGCTAAAGGTGTGTTTAAAGCAAATATAACTTACGTGATGTCGTGATGAATAGCACGCCCCATGCACAGCTCCATATATATCCAAATATGGCTAAAGGTTAGTGTTTAAAGCAAATATAACTTACGTGATGTCGTGATGAAGAGCACGCCCCATGCACAGCTCCATATATATCCAAATAGGGCTAAAGGTGTGTTTAAAGCAAATATAACTTACGCGATGTCGTGATGAAGAGCACGCCCCATGCACAGCTCCATATATATTCAAATAGGGCTGAATGTGTGTTTAAAGCAAATATAACTTACGTGATGTCGTGATGAAGAGCACGTCCCATGCACAGCTCCATATATATCCTAGGGCTAAAGGTTAGTGTTTAAAGCAAATATAACTTACGTGATGTCGTGATGAAGAGCACGCCCCACGCACAGCTCCATATATATCCAAATAGGGCTAAAGGTTAGTGTTTAAAGCAAATATAACTTACGTGATGTCGTGATGAAGAGTACACCCCATGCACAGCTCCATATATATCCAAATAGGGCTTAAGGTGTGTTTAAAGCAAATATAACTTACGTGATGTCGTGATGAAGAGCACGTCCCATGCACAGCTCCATATATATCCTAGGGCTAAAGGTTAGTGTTTAAAGCAAATATAACTTACGTGATGTCGTGATGAAGAGCACGCCCCATGCACAGCTCCATATATATCCAAATAGGGCCAAAGGTGTGTTTAAAGCAAATATAACTTACGTGATGTCGTGATGAAGAGCACGCCCCATGCACAGCTCCATATATATCCAAATAGGGCTAAAGGTTAGTGTTTAAAGCAAATATAACTTACGTGATGTCGTGATGAAGAGCACGCCCCATGCACAGCTCCATATATATCCAAATAGGGCTAAAGGTTAGTGTTTAAAGCAAATATAACTTACGTGATGTCGTGATGAAGAGCACGCCCCATGCACAGCTCCATATATATCCAAATAGGGCTGAAGGTTAGTGTTTAAAGCAAATATAACTTACGTGATGTCGTGATGAAGAGCACGCCCCATGCACAGCTCCATATATATCCAAATAGGGCTAAAGGTGTGTTTAAAGCAAATAAACTTACGTGATGTCGTGATGAAGAGCACGCCCCATGCACAGCTCCATATATATCCAAATAGGGCCAAAGGTGTGAGAACCAACTGGGCACAAGCAACTCCAACTCCTGTCAAACATGCAACCGCTTTCTCAAACTCGTCCATTCCGGTTGTGTCTGAACAATGACAGAAGAGCGCAAATGCTGATATCCAAGTACCTACAAGTATATGAAAGTCATACACGTCAGGGGTCAACCAAGCACTCGTCGTGTTTCAAGCGTGACAATGGAGATCTTAGTCTCATTATGCGCCCTATGATTATCCATGAAAATGCCTTTAGTAAAGAATGTCCCGGGTACTGTCCCCAGTCGAGAACATCATAGCCAATTTCCTCTTAAATTACAACACTGGATTTCAGAATTAACCTATGACACACTATCAATGTCTTTTCAAAGTTTGAATCCTAATTTTATCGGAAATTTATGAGTGAAAATGATGATTTCTTAAATCACCAAACAGGAATCAAGATGTGATGCAAAAGGGGACTTCTATTTGCCAAGCTTATGGAGGGGAGTGTACAAATAGCTTACCTAGCCCAGGAATAATAAAGTTACAGACGCAGCAAGCGATGGCCATTGGCATGGGCATCGCAGGAATAACCATTCGATTCTGCTTATTATCAAGCGCCCGTACGGCCGCTCTTTTTCTGTTGTTGACGTTAACATATACAGTTTCTTCGCCTGCATCTGTCTGTCCTGTTTTTATAGCACCGTTCCCAGAAGTCGCCATATTTTAGAATGTTTTGGGGTTTTTCTTTAACCCGAATTGTCTTTGAATTGATTTGGTCCTGATTAGGGTTTGTTGATTTTCATCTTTACTTTGCAGTTAAAGTATCTTTAAAAGCTGTCGGTTACCCAGGCTTTGAGTTCCTTGATGAGTTTCTCGGCTTACGCAACTGTACTCTGCACGTTTTCGTTCGTTCTTGGGGCGTTCTAATTCAACGTTGGCCAGCAATCTATGGCTTGTTTCTGCCTGAAATTATATAAATCTTTTATTAACCATATTTCTGAACAGTGTGGCACGTAGTGGACGTTGCGTCATGTTTCTTTTTGCGTAAGATTGTTTCCTTGCGACTGGTTTTACTCAAGGTTGGATAATTTCTTTCTGTGATAACTATTTTGTATATCTCTCTGTGCTTTTCCGGTTGACACATGTACTTGCATATTTATATTAGAGTTCTTCACGTACTTCACTTCACTTCAATTCTACGAACTCTCCCGTAGGAGATACTCTGGCAGGGTCTCGCTCCTTGGAGTCCCAGGAGACGTATTTTGTCAATGTTTCCAGTACCCATTTCCAGTCTCCCATATACCGTTAAGATCTTGAACAAATTATAATGCAGCTCTTAATGGCATTATGGGCTTTATGGGAGTTTGAAGGAATATTCATCATTCAGCACAAAATGTTGTGATTTGCCGACATATTATTTGATTGGATTGGGACCAGTTTAAAGAATTGTCTTAAATTTGAAGAGTAGTATAGACGAAATCGAGCGCTTGTAAAGAGTACCGCTAAGCCAACATATAGTTGAATATACTAAAAGCAAATACAGAACTGACTCCAGAATGCATTAATTTAACTATAGCTAATCGATCATGTAATTGTACATAAATGGTATATGTGATTATTTAATCTGAAGTATTGATCCCTGGTGAACGAATGGACGGTGAGTTCTGCCAAAAGGTAGCAACAATCATTTTTCATTTTGGGTGGATGTGGCCTTTTTAATACTGGCTGCCCAAAAATAGTAGCAGTCGTAGGTTTCATCCTTTAGGAGAAAGGGAGACAATGTTTCCATTCGACAGATTTGAAAAACAAAACGATTGCTAAAATATTAGACACTCTAAAGGCTCGAGATCGAGGAATTGGTTAAGATATTAAAATTCTCTACCGGGATATACAGGGCGTATAAGCAGTTATCTCGTAAAATTACAAAACTAGTGATGAATACATCAATTTCATTCAATGTACCATAAAGCCACGTCTACTCCTCTTTTCAATGATATGTCATTCATTCACATGTGGTCATGGTTGGGTGAGAAATCCTTCCATTTGTACAGTTGGTCAAAATCGGCTCTGGACCAAGTTTCAGATATTGCAAAAATCAATTCAAATGCTAAGTGCAAATGGAAGTTCTCCTGACTCTCCTGACTAGTTTTGTGCTTTTCCGGGATAACAATCTGTTGCGTTTTTTTATACGCACTGTATATCAAAATTTAGGCAAAGAATTGGTATGGCCGGCTTTTACTGCTTCCTTCGGGAGCCTCATCCAATCTCAGATATTACGAAAAGTCATCTCTAACCAGTCACTAACGCAATGTAGTTTACCATTATGGTCTTGACTGTCTCCCTAACGACACGCTTTCTCCCATGTACAAGACTAGAGAAATATGTGAATAGAATGATCATAGACTTCATGCAAAATATACATTATTCGTAGCATTTGATCATGTCATTCAAGTTGGAGTATTTCAGGACATTCTAGTGTTCGCAATGGAGCAACATTCATGGACATTTCCTCTTCGTTTCATTAACGCTTTTAGCCTCTTAGTCTAAATGATTTAATATCTTAAAATAGCAAACCTACCTTGTTTGAAATATCCAAATTAATCGTAAAAATGGCAATACAAAATGATCAAAAATCCATAGCAGCGTTCTCGAAACACGTACCGACGCTTGGATTCCTGGAGTCATACGCTCTCCGATTACAGAGCTCTTTTCACCGATACCTTCTTATAGAAAGCCTCTCATAGAAATCTGCTTAAATCGCTTTAGAGGTTTACACAATGGATTTATGCCAGGACAATAAGATTTTGCAGAAAATTATTGGTAGTAGTTTGAGTGTGTGTAAATACAATTTTGAGCCATGCGCCTAAACAACTCTACAGTATAGAGGGATGGTTTTCAATAAGCCTTTAACAGTTTAAAAATCAGTATTTTCTTTAATTTTCGAAATTATAATTTGATACAATTCAGATTTGTATAATTGGATTCAATAAATAATTGTTATTATGCATAAGTCATAAATCAGCATAGCCCTAAAGCTTGATATCCATTTGGGTGCGACATCTATTCAACCGCGTAAGATTAATTTACATCTTAGGGAGTTTAAGCTTGCAATATTTTTCACAACCTAAACGTGGACAGAAAATATTTAAGCGATGCACTTGTATAGGCAATTGGTCATACGTATAGGTTGGCGTTTCGATTTTATATGCAAGCTTAAACTCCCTAATAGCTCCAATACGTGACAGCTGCGAAGATTTAAAATATTTTCAAAACGATACATGTTACTCTCTTTTGATATAAGCACCACCTAAACATAAGGCCGTTTATATTTTTTATATTTTTTTTCTTTTTCAACCAATAATAATGAAGACATGTATAGACATTGCAGATTGAGGTCCAACGGATGAACATGAATGTGTTTTTACAATGCAGGGTGACATACAGTCATATAGACAGTGGGACAACAAAACATCAAACATCTGCCATGTTCAATACATACTCTTATCATATAATGTAAAATATGTTCTTTCATAGGGCAGCACTTATTAGCACAGCAAAACAATTCATTCAGCATGCACATTTGATTAAATTCAAATGATGACAACACATCATTTTAGCTCATAATACATCATTTCAAATGATGCTGTTCATAATATAGAATAAGTGACAAGAGTGCTATATTTCACATGATGACAATGCATTTCATGATGATACATGCATCATTTTAAATGATGACAATTAATAATAATAATATATTCTTCGCATAATGATAGTGCATTTTTGGCAATGACTTACTGTAAATTTGTGAGATGATAATGTATTCTTTCACATGATAATTATGCATCATTTCAAATGATGACAACACAGCCACTTTCATCCTATTTTCTCCATTAATATATGTAAATATGTAACAGCACATAACACGATTACTCTTGTCAACCATCACATTTTTTGCAATACTAAATAAGCGTTATATATTAATATATAGAATTCTATAAAAAATACAGCCCTAAATTTCTAGTTTAAACACCTCAAAAAGTTCACAATAACCATGCTAAATATGACAAAGCATAACATAATGAAGGAACCCACATTTAAAAGAATAATAGAAAAAATAAACATTTATGATCAGTGTGAACTTTTTTCAAGGGCAACTAGTTGTTATATATGTTCACTTTTCATTAATTGTTAATATGGCCGCAAAATCATCACAATTTGGAAGAAGTGTTTCCTAAATTCTAAAGTTCTACATTGCACTGGATGTACTGATTTCAATTATTTCATGATTCAGGTCATACAAAGATCAGATTTACAGACATAAACAAACTACGATGGTACAGATTCAAAGTATGATAACTAGTCAAAGCTGGGTGTCATTTCAATTTCATGTCATGTCATTTTCAATTAGAAATTAAGTATGGATCAAATTGTCATCTTCAAGACAATAAATTGATACAGGGTGCTTCAAAATAAACTTCTCAACAATCATAATTAAGTGTGACATGTATAAGTACACAGTGTCACCAAATTAATCATGAAAACTGTCTAAAATGGGCAAAATAAAAAAAGAAATATTACATACAATACATACGTGTGAGGTGCTTTTTGTCTCTTGTGGTCACCCATTACCATTTATGACCAAATAAGGAAACATTAGCTTAAGCATATCATTAATCTAGCCATATTGCAGATACATTTATAATATGTACACTCATTTTGTTTTACTACATTTGTGGCTCTGGGCCCTTCCCTGAGAATTGAAATATTGAAAACTTAACAACGTACAACTCAGATATTGAACGACACAAATGTTTTTATTCATTAACAAAAGTCAAAAACTGGATTGCCACTTTTCAGTGGGGCTTTGCCACTTTTACTTGGAGTTTTACCACTTAATTCAGAATTTCTTCAATTCTGATTACATTAAAATCGAAACAAGTGAAAGATTAATTAAATTAGAAAAATCCCACTTTGAATTTCTCAGAGATGGGCCAAGAGTATGTATCATATTACATCTCACTTTGAATTTACATTCCACTTTGAATTTCTCAGAAAGGGGCCAAGTGTATGTTTTATATTACATCCAATTTTGAGTTTCTCAGAGAAGGGCCAAGCAATATATTATATTACATCCCACTTTGAGTTTCTCGGAGAAGGGCCAAGCGTATGTATTATATTACATCCCACTTTAAGTTTCTCAGAGAAGGGCCAAGTGTATGCACCATGTTACATCCCACTTTAAGTTTCTCAGAGAAGGGCCAAGTGTATGTATTATATTACATCCCACTTTAAGTTTCTCAGAGAAGGGCCAAGCGTATGTATTATATTACATCCCGCTTTGAGTTTCTCAGAGAAGGGCCAAGTGTATGCATCATGTTACATCTAACTTTAAGTTTCTCAGAGAAGGGCCAAGCTTTTGTATTATATTACTAGTATACAAAGCTGGTATAGACCAATAGAAAGACACAGGCTTTACAAGGGTATATGATAGTATAACTAATATACATATACGCTACAACCAATAATTATAATTAATTACTGATAATAGAAATGCATTTTAAATATAAAGTAAAAATGCATTTTAAATACAAAGTAAAATAAGATTTGACCCGCAAATCATGCACACAAACGATACTGGTAGCTGTAACCATGGTAACAGTAATGTTTCATAAAATACAACAATACTTTTATGTAGTATTAATATTTGAATGTCTCAAGCAAATCAACCTGAATATTAGCAGCCAATTGAACTAAAATGCTGAAAAATGCAAAAGTAGTAAAATGGAGTACCAACGTACATGAGAAGCTGTTCTCGATTTGATTCAATTAATTTTTTATACTATCTTATTGAGAGTAGAATAATGAAAATTAGATGCATCAAGTGAAATAATATTGTTTAGTGGGCCTGCCACAAAAATCTTGAAAGAATATCATTGACTTTTTTACTAAACTTTGCTAATTAACCAGTTAGATCAGGCTAATCCTTCAAACTTAATATTTGAGCTATATTATTCATGAAAATGTTCATGATTGAATAACAAATTCATGTCAGGTTTTCCTTTTCATATTCAAGAATAACTGGAATTTCTATGGCATCAAATAAAAGAATGTGACAGTTTAAATACACCAATATCTAAATGCGACAGTTTGATACACCAATCTCTAAATGTAAAACAATCAGAACAAACATATTCACCCTATTCAGACAAAAATATCACACCTAAAATCATTCTCATTGTCAGGCTTAATTCACTCATTTTTGATAATTCAAAAATTCATACATCTTCTTGTACAAACTCAGAATGAGAGGAATAAGCATGAAAATAGTGATATTTGACAAACAACTTCTCTTGTCTTACATCATAGACCCAATTCATCTTAATCTTAGTACATTGCACATGTTTTTGACTCTGTAGACTTGGAAAAGTCAACATCCCCCAAGGCATTGCAAGACCCCATAATGACAATTATTTAGCTGCTGAATGTACATCACATTACAAGGTAGAATAAAACTCCACACTTCCTATCATATAAGTTTCAAATATTGCATGGTAGCACACTACCCTGCTTTCATCAGATACTGCTTTATTACCCTCTAACAGGGAGAAATTATTCTACAGTGAGGTACATTCAACAATCTAAAGAGTGGGACAATATTACAGCACTCATACAAAGGGTATGTTTGCGGATTACATCAGTAGGGTGATCTGGCAAATTCAAATGTCATGAGCTTTGTTTCAAAATAAAAGTCTTGCTTCAAGTTTATATTTTCATCAAGTTTAATCTGGACCCCTGCGACTTGCATATTTTGCATGGTACAAACAGAGAAATAGGCAAACCTGGATTCTAATGAACAAAAATGTTTTTTTGGCAAAAACTCTTGGCAGAACTTTCTTAGCTTTGTACTTAATCAGTAATATTGTAACCATTCAAATATTTCACCTAAACTCTCACCTTTTTACATTTTTAGGGTATGTTTTTCCTGAAGGGAACTTTGGTCATAAAAATATAATTTGATTTTATAGAATTAATGTAATGTATATATAACATGTGCAGTGGAATTTAAAAAAAAAATATCCAATTTTAAGAACATATTTCAAGTTTCACATTATCCAATTGCCATATTTTAAGTTTTATATTAGCCTACTTAAGTTTCATATTTGCATTGTTTCCCAGCTAATTGATAAAGCTGTACAAATCAATGCCATGAATTCTCTGAATTTAAGAGTGTCTCACCAGATTCATTACATTACTTATCTCATGTTCCACAGCAATGTTTGAAACATGGTATGGGGAAGTTCATTAATTTAAGAGTGTCTCACTAGATTCATTACATTATTTATCTGATGTTCCACAGCAATGTTTGAAACATGGTATGGGGAAGTTCATTAATTTAAGAGTGTCTCACTAGGTTCATTACATTATTTATCTGATGTTCCACAGCAATGTTTGAAACATGGTATGGGGAAGTTTATTAATTTAAGAGTGTCTCACTAGATTCATTACATTATTTATCTGATGTTCCACAGCAATGTTTGAAACATGGTATGGGGAAGTTCATTAATTTAAGAGTGCCTCACTAGATTCATTACATTATTTATCTGATGTTCTACAGCAATGTTTGAAACATGGTATGGGGAAGTTCATTAATTTAAGAGTGTCTCACTAGATTCATTACATTATTTATCTGATGTTCCACAGCAATGTTTGAAACATGGTATGGGGAAGTTCATTGTGGATGAAATGAGATTGAACAATGTTGCGCAGGCAGGCCAACAACTTCCACTTTGCTAGAGTAGATCAAATACCATCAATCCATAGTTAAAGGCAGAATCAGATCTATAGGGAGTGACAAAATTGCAAGCAATATGTACAATTGATCTACTAAAGTGTTCCTTACAAGCACAAATGTAATATCTTTTAGAAGATTCATGATGTGTTATCAATTGGTGAAGTTATTTTAGATTCAAAGTGCAAAAATAGGGGGAAAATATTTAAATTCTCCCAAATAATAAGAATGGTAACCATTCTCATAGACAAATGATTGTAAAAATCTTAACTTTTCCTCAAATAAAATATACTTGGGGTATTTTTAGAAAATAAACAAGGAATGATATGAGCCCGAAATATTCTAGAATTGAAACAATTCTTGTCAACAAGGCAATTGCTAGATCTGAATCTCCATTTAAGTCATATTCTTATTTTAGACTTGAGTTCTCATTGTAGACTAGAATTCTTAATGAAGTTAATCTCATTTCATCCTCTTAATTTGAGTTTTTATTAAAGGCATGGATTCTTGACAACGCAGGAGTAAACCACATATCCAATTTGGTGATAAACTTTTCATGTCTCATAAGAAGCAAGCAAGCTGAATGGGGTCAACATGATACATTCTATTCAAGTAAAATGTAGCTTTTATCCTTGATGCTTCACAGCTGATTATGTTTCACACTACAGCTGATTGCACTGAACCTACAGCTGATTGCACTACAACTGTTTACACCATAACTACAGTTGTTTACACAGTAATTACAGTTGTTTGCACCATAGCTACAGTTGTTTACACTGTAATTACAGTTGTTTGCACCATAGCTACAGTTGTTTACACTGTAATTACAGTTGTTTGCACCATAGCTACAGTTGTTTACACAATAATTACAGTTGTTTGCACCATAGCTACAGTTGTTTACACAATAATTACAGTTGTTTGCACCATAGCTACAGTTGTTTACACAGTAATTACAGTTGTTTGCACCATAGCTACAGTTGTTTACACTGTAATAACAGCTGTTTATACCATAACTACAGTTGCTTACACTGTAATTACAGCGGTTTACATTGTTACTACAGCTGTTTATTCTGTAATTACAGCTATTGCAGTTGTAAAGGACTGTATCGAGCACAATATAACACAGCTACAATATGTTTTATAATATATACTACAAAAGCCCAACATAGGCCTATACGTCATAATATTATAACCGATCAAGTCGAAATGAGTCCTCTGTTGCAGGGTCTGCAACTAAGCTAGGGTCCGTTAACATCTGAAGACCATCTAGATCCAAGGGGTCTAGACCCACTTTTAGGGCTTCGTCCGAGGGGAAGAAATTGTCTGTGTCAAATGAGTCCACTGAGATCATGGCATTTCCTAAATCTTTGGCAAAGTCTTGCCGCATGTTGCTTATCAGCGTCTCATCAGCACCTGCAATCAAAGCAATGTTCCTAAATCAGGATAAAACTGTGCTTACATTGGGGACTATATATGCATCTCATCAGCACCTACAATCAAAGCAATGTTCTTAAATCAGGATAAAACTGTGCTTACATTGGGGACTATATATGCATCTCATCAGCACCTACAATCAAAGCAATGTTCTTAAATCAGGATAAAACTGTGCTTACATTGGGGACAGTGTTTTTCCTAAGCAAATATAAATCACAGGACCAATGGACTGGCAATATCAAAATTTCAACCAGTCCAGGCTAAGCATTATCAGTCATCTGGACCTGTAACTTCTGCTACATCACAGGTCCAAGTGAAAACCAACCAGTCCTTAAAATATTAAAGTTACTTCGAATTCAGAACTATATGTATTGGCACTTACCTAAAGGATAACTACGTATGATTTACATGTATACCAAGAAAGAAATTTAAAAAATTAATGCAGGAACCGGAAATTACTTTTGCTACACTGGACGAAAACAAATGTAGTTTGTATCTTCACCCGGGATTGTTTAACCTCCATTTATCCTACTCTATCAATTTATGAATCCCCATATAATTTCTCGTTATAATTATATTTATTTAATAGTTAGTGGACAGTAATGAAGTCCCAGTGTTGGAATTCCCGGTTAATTTGCTTCCATAATCAGAAATTTTACATCGAACGAAATACCATATGGTCACTACCCACAATTCATTTCGACCAATCAGAAAACAGTTTTTCGAAGTTATTGATAGATTATGCTACGCAATTTATCCTCGTTTGCAGACCTGAAACTCAAAAAATATTTCAAAAAATCCTGTCTGTTTTAAAGATTTTCGATGTGATAATGAGTAAAATCTTGAGTAAATGAAGTTCAACGATCGGACTGATGTTTGAGGTAAGACTTTGGTGCATATCTTAGCCATCGGACTTGGACGGTCTTGTGGACTGGTTGGTTGGAATAAATCGTCAGTCCCGGGTCAACATCATCGGAGATGTCCCATGGTCCGACGCTTAGGAAAAACACTGATTGGGGACTATATATGCATCTCATCAGCACCTACAATCAAAGCAATGTTCTTAAATCAGGATAAAACTGTGCTAACATTGGGGACTATATATGCATCTCATCAGCACCTGCAATCAAAGCAATGTTCTTAAATCAGGATAAAACTGTGCTTACATTGGGGACTGTATATGCATCTCATCAGCACCTGCAATCAAAGCAATGTTCTTAAAAGAGGATAAAACTGTGCTTACATTGGGGACTATATATGCGTCTCATCAGCACCTACAATCAAAGCAACATATAATGTGCAGCAAGAGTTCATAATTTGTAACCACTGAGTATAATATGAGTAAAACTAACATTTGAGTTGAGTTTAATTCCAAAAATATTTCTCTAATATGTATCACTTAGAACCAGATGAATTGAATAATAATATTCATTTTCCTGACAGATGCAATAACAAATAAGAGAACATTGACTTTGACCAACAGGAAATTATCTCTATAATTAAGGATCTTGACCCCTCAAAAGCAAATTGTCCAGATGGAGTTACAATAAAAATGCTCCAGCAATGCAGGAATACTATTTCTGTGCCACTTAATTTACTTTTTCATAAAATTTTGACCACAGGTAATTTTCCCCAGAACTGAAAATTAGGGGATATCTGCCCAATATTTAAAAAGAATAATAAGAATGACATAAGAAATTATAGACCTATATCTCTTCTCAGTATTACTTCCAAAACATTTAATTGAAAATAACTTATTGTATAAATACCAGTCCGGTTTTTTGAAAGGGCACAGCAATGAGTTACAACTGTTAGCCATCCAAAACCTAATTTGGCGCAATTTTAGCGACGGCAATGATACACGTGCAATTTTTCTGGATATTTCGGCCGCGTTTGACCGTGTCCCCCATTACCTTCTTCTAAAAAAGTTGAAAGCGTATGGATTTTCAGGAAACTTATTAGTTTTTCTAAAATCTTATTTGACTGATAGGAGTGTCAAAGTAACTGTGAATGGCAAATGTTCTGACACCTCTCCTAGCAACTACATAAACTGTTCTGTGCCTCAGGGAAGTATTCTTGGACCTTTGATGTTTATCCTCTATATAAACGACTTACCGGACAACCTGACCTCAGAGTGTTTTATTTATGCAGACGACACCTCCCTCTTTGTACCTACTTCCCCAAACAATCCGCAGTCTCATATACAAATTCAAAATGATCTAAAAAAATCGAAGCCTGGTCTAAACAGTGGAAACTAGATTTTAAACCAGAAAAGAGCAGAGAAATGACCTTTTCTAAGAAAAATAATCCAATCTATCCACCAGTTATCTTAAATGATAAACAAATTGAAAAAACTGACATTCATAAACACCTAGGCTTCATTTTTGATAAAAAATTAAGTGGGTCAGCACATATAAATTCTACCTGTGCAAAAATCCAAACAGCTCTTAACCCCTTAAAAGCACTTAAGGGTAAACTAAAATCAAAACAATTAATATACAGCTTATATTCAGTCCTTATTTGATTATTGTGATATCCTTTACGACTGTGCTCCTATTTGTGACCTTAACAGACTTGACAGTCTCCAGTACCAAGCTGGTCTAATAGTCTCTGGTGCTCTCCCAGGCTCCAGCACTTCCAAAGTACTTAACATTTTGAACTGGTCCACCTTAACTGAGAGGAGGATCCTCCACTTTAAAACAATTATGTACAAAGCCGTGAACGATTTAACACCTATTTATATCTCAGATATATTTAGGCCATTCATAAACCCTCAAACAAGATTGTTAAGGAAACCTCGAGATTTCACTATCCCTATTCACTATCCACATAAGTCTCCAATATACAAAATGATGAACCTATGGAATGATCCAGGATCTTTTCCCTTGGAACAAAAGCTCTTGCCAACTATTGCATCTTTTAAAAGAACACTTAAATTAAATTTGTTCCCTGGTGTTGTTTCAACTATTTGTTTAAAATTAACTCGTCAACAAGAACTTTATCTGAATAGAGCCAGGGTAGATTTAATTTTAAAAGCTCAGCTCAAAGCCCACAATTGGAGCTCAATTGAGTCATCAAATTGTTTATGTGGTTCCCCTGAAACTTTTCCCCACTTCTTTTTCAAATGCCCTCTGAAACAACAACAAAGAAATAAATTAATAACAGATACTTTAGGGATATATGGGGACTTATTAACTCATTTCAGAACTCAGCAAGACAAAATTCACTTTTTTCTTTTTGGGGATCCATCATTAACCCAATTAGAAATGGATAATCTATTTTCACTGGTTGCGAATTATCTCATTGAAAACACAACCAGAATCTAAATATTTTCCTGCCTATGACCTGTTTCCATTTTTCAACATACTACCCCCCCCCCCCAGGATATCAGCAGCCCTCCTATCTTTTGTTTCATTGCAAGGCATTCTACCATTTACAGGTGACATCCAGGTTAAGATGAATATTGTACTTTATTGTTTATTTATATAAGGGGACATCTAATGCTTACAGCGCTTTGCCCCTTGTAATTGTATCTAAATGACTTGTGCTTACAATAAATATGAAAGATGATAAAAAAACTGTATATGCATCTCATCAGCACCTGCAATCAAAGCAATGTTCTTAAATCAGGATAAAACTGTGCTTACATTGGGGACTATATATGCATCTCATCAGCACCTGCAATCAAAGCAATGTTCTTAAATCAGGATAAAACTGTGCTTACATTGGGGACTATATATGCATCTCATCAGCACCTGCAATCAAAGCAATGTTCTTAAATCAGGATAAAACTGTGCTTACATTGGGGACTATATATGCATCTCATCAGAACCTGCAATTAAAGCAATGTTCTTAAATCAGGATAAAACTGCTTACATTGGGGACTATATATGCATCTCATCAGCACCTACAATCAAAGCAACGTATAATGTGCAGCAAGAGTTCATAATTTGTAACCACTGAGTATAATATGAGTAAAACTAACATTTGAGTATAATGTTAGCAAACACATATGAGTGTAATGTGCAGCCAGAGGGCATAATTTGTAACCACTGAGTTTAACATCTTACCAGTGAGTATAATGTCGGGTATAGTGTTATTCTTCGGCGATTCCATCCCCTGCGGGGTCATCGGGCTGTTCATATTAGGATGGGGGGACTGGGGTGAGGGGTGACTGGGGGGAAAAAATTGTTGATGTTGGTGGTATTGTTCCTGGTCGAGGGGCTGGCCAATCCCACCCCCTGAGACAGTTCCCTGAACCTGTCCCCCACCTCCAGGTACACTCCCCTGAAGCTGAGACTGTGTGAACGACATCTGAGAGTTGTTGTAGTTCATATTTGATATACTTGTGATCACATTGTCCTGCAACTAGAAACATGCAATATAAATTTAAATTATTAAGTGATTTATTTATTTCATTGATAAACATGCAAATAATAAATGAATTAAGATAAATAAATGTTCATAAAATATTCCTGCTTAGAATATCAACGGCAACTATAGCTTTAACTAATCAAATGAAGGCAAAATCCTTTTATCTTTGAATGGTGAATTGAAAAATGATTCTGTCAAATGGCGGTTATATAAGATATTAAATTATGATTATGCAAAGCTTTGAAGGCAAGGCCTTAATCATGGATTTTGAAAAAGGAGGAACTTATAAAAGACTCTACACATTAAATGAGAATAAAGAAGAATTAAGCATACCACGAAATTCTGTTGAAATTGATGCTGAAGTGCATCAGTTTGTAGGGCATCAGTTTGTTGTTGCTGCTGCTGTTGATCTAAGTAGTAGTTATCTAGCGTATTCTGAAAGTTGGCAGGGTCTCCCCCATTACTCTGTGGGGCAGAAGTCCCGGGAGATTGTGCTGGAGAGTAGTGCCCCGGGGAGAGGGGACCGGGGGAAGTTGGTGACTGGCATTGTTGTTGAGAATCTGGGGTTCCTGTATTCCTGTAGTGAGTCATAGATGGCTGGAATAGAAATTCACATTAAATTAATGGCAATTAGATTCAAAATTGATCTAATTGAGATACTCAGCTTATTTATCATGTATGAGTTACATATGTACTGTATATATCATGTATGAGTTACATATGTACTGTATATATCATGTATGAGTTACATATGTACTGTATATATCATGTATGAGTTACATATGTACTGTATATATCATGTATGAGTTACATATGTACTGTATCTATCATGTATGAGTTACATATGTACTGTATATATCATGTATGAGTTACATATGTACTGTATATATCATGTATGAGTTACATATGTACTGTATATATCATGTATGAGTTACATATGTACTGTATATATCATGTATGAGTTACATATGTACTGTATATATCATGTATGAGTTACATATGTACTGTATATATCATGTATGAGTTACATATGTACTGTATATATCATGTATGAATTACATATGTACTGTATATATCATGTATGAATTACATATGTACTGTATATATCATGTATGAATTACATATGTACTGTATATATCATGTATGAATTACATATGTACTGTATATATCATGTATGAGTTACATATGTACTGTATATATCATGTATGAGTTACATATGTACTGTATATATCATGTATGAGTTACATATGTACTGTATATATCATGTATGAGTTACATATGTACTGTATATATCATGTATGAGTTACATATGTACTGTATATATCATGTATGAGTTACATATGTACTGTATATCATGTATGAGTTACATATGTACTGTATATATCATGTATGAGTTACATATGTACTGTATCTATCATGTATGAGTTACATATGTACTGTATATATCATGTATGAGTTACATATGTACTGTATATATCATGTATGAGTTACATATGTACTGTATATATCTCTTACATAAATTCATTATTGAGCAATACACTTTAGTGATACTTCTTACATTCTAATAAGTATTCAATGAGTAGGCTGCTAGAATACATCTAGTGGATATAAAATATGTACAGTGCCATCTATGGGTATGTACAGTGACACCTATAGGTATGTACAATGCCATCTATAGGTATGTATAGTGCCCTCTATAGGTATGTACAATGCCATCTATAGGTATGTACAATTCACTGACTAAAGTCCTGCTATTTGTTGAATTTGAAGAAACAATGGGGAAATTATTTGGCAACACTAACAATACAACATTTTAAAGCAATACATCATTTAAAAGCAATACATCATTTGAAAGCACCCAAAAAGGAATACATGACTTCAACTAAATATAATATTCGTGCAGTGAATAAAAAATGTCAAGTTAACATAACAGGGAATAGGACCAGTGGCCCCTATGCTTGCAAATGATAGCATGTCAACCATGTCAGTAAAAATGCAAATTATATAGGTTGCAGTTATATTATAGTTAATACAGCTTGAAATGTTTTTGTTCAAAAGAGACTCAGATGTGTCAAATTGGTGCCTCAAGGCTTTGTTAGCCATACTGCTGTACTGTATGACCTCATCTCTGAATTTCAGAAAGATTGGTTGGCAAAAGGAGGGACTTATAAATGACAAAAGCACCATTTGATATATACATGATGATGAATTCGTTGGTGAATGATATTCAGAAGACAATTTTTTTTAATTTTGAGCCTCATTCCTAAGGTACTCCATCCTAAAGTACTTCAAACTTTGACTTCTTGCTACTTTGAGAAAAAGATTATTTGATCATTACTATCTAACAGCTAAATAGCTGACCATATCAGATAAAAATGTCAAAATTGTGAATCTAAAATATGTTTCAGTACCTGCTTTTGATTATTTACATTGGACTCTATTATGTTAGAAAGGCCATTTTGTTGTTGTTGTTGTTGACGCTGCTGTTGTTGTTGTTTTTGCTGCTGCTCCAGTAATTGTTGTTGTTTTTGTTGTAAAAGGTATTTTTGTTGGAGCATTTGGTACATGATAACTTTTGGCGTGAGTTGGCCGTTGTCAGGAGCCTACAGTGAGCACAACACAACATTCATGCTGGTTACTATGGCAACATTATTCAGTGATCTCCCGGTTGTCAACCAGATATCAAACTTGCAAATGTGCTAGAATTCTCAAAAAACAATATTTTTATTCTTGTTATTTTTACTGGTTAAATGTTGGCAAGACCACTGAGTTCTAGAGCTGAGTCAGATACATGGTTACAGGTTGATCCTGGCCTAATCCAGATAGGTCTAGGTTGATTCTGGCCTGATCCAGACTGGTACAGGTTGATTCAATCTTGCCTAATCCAGACTGGTACAGGTTGATCCTGGCCTAATCCAGATAGGTCTAGGTTGATTCTGGCCTGATCCAGACTGGTACAGGTTGATTCTGGCCTAATCTAGATAGGTACAGGTTGATTCTGGCCTAATCCAGATAGGTCTAGGTTGATTCTGGCCTGATCCAGACTGGTACAGGTTGATTCTGGCCTGATCCAGATAGGTACAGGTGATTCTAGCCTGATCCAGACTGATTCTGCCCTGATCCAGATAGGGACAGATTGATCTCTTAAATTTTATTTTTCTGTTCTGGATTCAAGCCAGTGAAATCTGTCAGCTTGATCTGACCTGAAGAGGTAGTAACCAAGGTTACCTGACACATCTCTAGGATCTCATAGAACATCATCAAGCTACACAATATCAACATCAAATAAGTGTTATGAAGAGGAGGGGCTCTAGTCCCATGATTGACAAAAGAGGGAGGAACTAGAATAATGACCATTACAGAAGATGGGGGATTGAACCAATGATTCAAAAGAGAAGGGAGGGAGGTACTGGAACTATGATGGATGGAAGTTTGAACCAATGATTGACGATGAAGGAAGATCTAGAACAATCATTGAGAGCGTCATTTTACTATCAAGTTTTCATTATCGAATGTATTGTAGTCTCTAGAATCATTGTTATTTATTCAACATTTTTGATAATTACCTATGGCAGAATAAGCACTTAACTGTACCATTCAAAGCCTATAATGTCTTCAATAGAAGCAAGGGAATCATGGGGGCTCTTTTCCTCCTCTTATAACAAATAAAGTGAGATAAAACAAGGACTATATATAAAAATACATAAAATCAATACATGCTTAATAAAGTGTCACTGTCACAAAGTGTCATTGTCATAAAGTGTCACTGTCACAAAGTGTCACTGTCATAAAGTGTCATTGTCACAAAGTGTGACTGTCATAAAGTGTCACTGTCACAAAGTGTCACTGTCATAAAGTGTCATTGTCATAAAGTGTCATTGTCATAAAGTGTCACTGTCATAAAGTGTCATTGTCACAAAGTGTGACTGTCATAAAGTGTCACTGTCACAAAGTGTCACTGTCATAAAGTGTCATTGTCACAAAGTGTCACTGTCATAAAGTGTCACTGTCATAAAGTGTGACTGTCATAAAGTGTCCATGCCACTTATACCCATTACCAATTGTCATTGCATGGTTTTCTTATATTTCTATATAATCTTGATTCTAATATGATACATGACATTGACGATGATGATGTCACAATAGCTAGAACAACTGATTTTGGTCTATATTGGAGGATGTATGACCGCTAAAATTCCTAAATGCAAAAAAATTCTTGTCTGTTTATCATATTAGAATCGTAACAAAGACCTCGATTTTATGATTTATGTCAAATATATGACCTCAAATCTAATTTTGGCCATTGCCAAAGACCTACGCGATTTCAGTCTTTTAACAAATAAACGGAATAAACTTTTTGGTGATATACTACACCTTAAATCATACAATCTCAATATTCATTCCTTTAATAGGCCATAAATTTATATTTCCATAATTTTGTTTTCCATGGCAACAGATGAAAGACAATGGCGACTTCTCAACTCGTAAGTTTTTGCAAATGGTTATAAAATTGTGACAATTTGTTACAGCCACTGTAACATCAATGCCCAATTTAGGTCACAAAATATGATGACTATAACAAATTGTCAACACATTCTGGTGGCATCATATTAAAAAAAATTAACAACTGTAAAAGTACATCTAATACAATACATGTACATGTACTAACAATAGCACATAATAAAAAAATAAAACCTGATTTTGAGGGATTTTAAAAATAGTGTTACAATATTGATTATGTGACGAGTGTGGTCTTACCTGCATTGGCCGGCCTATCTGTGTTGGGCTGTTCATAGGTTGGCCTATCTGTGTTGGGCTGTTCATAGGTTGGCCTGGGGGGCTTGCCATTGACTGTTGACTAAGATCTATTACTAAAGGACTACTTGGTCCTGTACTAGTCTGACGACGTCTTGTTCCAGGACTTTGTTGCTGTTGTTGTTGTTGTTGATGTTGGCGCTGTGCCAAACTTATATGATGCGCTGCCGTGGGTGATAAATTCTGGGGGCTTCCTACTGGGGCATACTGCTGGTCCTCAGCATCCAGGGGGGTGGTTAGAGGGGGTGGGAAGTGAAGGTTTGTTAAATCAGGCAGAGAACCAGTGTTGTTTGATATAGGAATATGTGTTCCGTTGTCCTGTTCTGTTGTAGGGTAGATACTAGAACGAAAACATGACATCATCAACATTTAACTTAGAATTAGACAAAAAATTTGTCCTAGTTCCAAAACTTAGGGCAACATTTGATACAAGGCCATTGTATCATGAAAGCAAAGTATGAAAGCAAATATCATATCACCCCTTTCACTCTTTCATTAAAATTCACAAAGCAGAAATGGTTGTATTTAACATGGTCAAAATCCAGAAAAAAATTGCATCATCCAAAATGGAAATTTTCTAATCAAAAATGGTGGCAAAATTATTTTAAAATCAATAAGCATATGAAGTTTACTGTTAAGCTTACTGCTTACCTAATTAACACTAGAACATCAGGCTGACATATTATAAGACTTTATTCTTCAATCTTGAAGTAAAACCCCATGGGCTCTACATCTGGTACTTTGACAACACAATGTCAGTCCTTTATATGATGATGTGCCAAAGCTTAACGTGTACAAAAGTAACAAACCCATCACTTACTTGATACCAGGGACTTCACAAGATTTCGGCCGTGATGACGACTGCTGAATTAACTGTTGCTGAAAGGGAAACAAGTTAATTTGAAAAAGTACTAAGGAAAGTCCTATTGCCAATAAGTTAATTTGAAAAAATACCAAGGAATGATGTCCTTTGTCAACAAGTTAATTTGAAAAAATACTAAGGAATGATGTCCTATTGTCAACAAGTTAATTTGAAAAAATACTAAGGAATGATGTCCTATTGCCAACAAGTTAATTTGAAAAAATACTAAGGAATGATGTCCTATTGTCAACAAGTTAATTTGAAAAAATACTAAGGAATGATGTCCTATTGTCAACAAGTTAATTTGAATAAATACTAAGGAATGATGTCCTATTGCCAACAAGTTAATTTGAAAAAATACTAAGGAATGATGTCCTATTGCCAACAAGTTAATTTGAAAAAATACTAAGGAATGATGTCCTATTGTCAACAAGTTAATTTGAAAAAATACTAAGGAATGATGTCCTATTGTCAACAAGTTAATTTGAAAAAATACTAAGGAATGATGTCCTATTGCCAACAAGTTAATTTGAAAAAGTACTAAGGAATGATGTCCTATTGTCAACAAGTTAATTTGAAAAAATACTGTTGTGAAGGAGATGGGAGGGCAAATGTCGACTTCATTCATGAAATGTTGATTGTTAAGCGGATGGCAAATCAACACTTTTAAATTTTGTAATATGTATGTAGGGACAAAGGTGAGTATTGAACCATAAAAACTTTGTTATTCCATAACTGTCAACTTTCTAATTGATTATTTTAAATTTAATGATATTTCTCAATCTTGTAATGTATGTGTGCGATTTATTTCACTTCTGCAATAAAGTTATTTGTTCTTTTGTGTTATTTGTTGGTGTTTATGAGAAAATGCATACATTTAACTACATAACTAACTTGTTAGTTTTTAAAGTTAGTAGTTAAATATGTATGTTTTATTATGTTATTTATAAGTAATTTAAATTTCTCTAAAAAACTGTGAATGTTGTGTAATACTATATTTGATATCTTGTATATACAGTCTTGAAGTCTCAAATACTTACTTTTTTAGGATCCCATAATCTTTCATCATTTCCGAGTGCACCATGCATTTCATTCACTACAATATATAAATGAATAATTTCACTTTTAAATTTAATTTGGTTAATTTCTTAACAAAACTATGCAATTGACATATTAATGGTTACCATGTGGCATTGTTCCTCATGCTGTTTAAATGCACAGTTTGGCAAATAGCATTCCACATCATTGTGTTTGTTTACATAACTTTGGAATATAACCAGAAAACTGCAAATTAATACAGCCGTACTTTGATGAGATTGCAAAATTATTGGAAATTCCACATTACTGCATTTGGTTACCATGGTGACCATAACTCTCACCAATCAATTGGCAGGGTGATGATTTTTTTAATGTTCAATTGTAACAGGAAGATCTGACTAATACGATTAAAATGCCAGACTCATTTCCATTCCTTCTAATCTGGGACACCCTGTAAATGAAGTGTTTTTGAATTTAATCCCTTTAAGTACTTACTGCGTCTATGCGTGGGTGGAGTGGCACCTCCCTGGAGGTGATGTTTGTGGTGACCCATGGCACTGTTTGGAATATCAGAGTCACTTGCAACTCTGAAAACACATACAAGGGGTGATCAAAATCCTCACAACATATGGCCATGAGGGGTAGAGGTGTCAGAGTCCCAAAATTTTAGAATGGGAGGAAATGGTACAATTGGTCTCTGGATACGGTAGTTCGAGATGGGATCCAGTTCTGATAATGCATTCGATTTTCAGACGATGATGAAGGAAATTTACCAATGGGCATAACCATAAACCTGAAATCCCAGGTCCACTATGAACACTTCATTCCTAAGAGGTGTAATCAAGGTAAGAGGTTAGCGAATTTTCAGAATGGATTCAGAGGAGTTTCTCGCCATTCATACACATTCTTTATGCATTCTTATGTGATGATGTCCCGATGGCCGATATTAACCCTTTCTGTCCCATGTCCAAAACTATCATGACTGAAATCGGTCCATCAAATCATTCAGAATTAATAAATCATTAATTTACAAAACAATTCAAATAAAGGCATCTGGACATTAAAATTAGAAAATGAATAGCTTACCGGCGCCAGCTGGTGTCAGGCGGTGGAAGTAAATATGCAGACCCATATGGAGAATAATCACCCTGCATATAGGGTTAAGGATTAATTCAATTCATTTATACATAAGGTAGAATTTATTCAATAAAAAAATTAAATAGCTGTGCACATTTCTGTGACAACTGATCTGTTTTAACTCATATTTTGGCTTTATAAACAGAATACTTGCAATTAATGCTCCTCATTTGGAATGAAATTATATTTCCTTAGCAATGACAACAAGTTTTCAGATATGCAAGATTCTTTGAGGCTTTAGTGTCTGTTTCTGCAGGTTTTAGTGGGTATTGTTTTTTAAGGTTTTAGTACAAAATGTGTTTAGATTCTTGAGGGTGTAGTGCCACGCTGCTTCTATTCTGATGTTCTGCATAACCTTATTAAGTCAGAAATCATTATCGCAAAATGTAACATAGCCATGTTGCGTAGATTATGATGGTGACATTATGAAATCCTACTTTATTAATCCACCTTTGGGATTCCACTACATTTACTTCTTTAACCTGTTTGTTAAAAATGGCTTAGTTAAAAACCATATTTTCTGTATATTTCATATATTTTATTTCTTTTTATTTATGAAAGCTGGAAAGAACTTACTTACGCGGCCAGCCTTGTTATTTTCAGGAAAAAAATGTATCAAAGCACAGAACCTTTTTTAAGCACAGAACCTTTTTGGAGCCCAGATCCCTTTTAAACACAGAAGTCTACTTTAGCACAATACCCCTTAAAATCGCAGAACCCTTTTGAAGCAGATTTCTATTTAAGCATAGAACCCTATTCAAGCACAGAACCATTTTTGAACACAGAACCCTATTTAAGCACAGAACCCTATTTAAGCACAGAACCCTTTTTAGCACAGAATCCTTTTGAAGCACACATTCCCATTTAAGAACAGAACCCTATTGAAGCACAGAACCCTATTTAAGCACAGAACCATTTTAAAGCACAGAAACCTAATTAAGCACAGAACCCTAAAGAAATACTCAACACAAATGATGATTTCCCGATCCTATTTTGTTGAACTGTCTTGTAATTCCAATTTAGGTGGTATTTCGCCACTCATGAGCATGTTGACATTCAATGGCCTGACACATATAGAATGTACCATACAAATTAAGATTAAAACCTTTGTTTTTCTGGCAATCTGCTTACAAAATTGAACTCGCCGGAAACACGGCACAGTCATTGGCAATGAGTTGACGGCATAGATTATAATGTATGGCAACGCGGCTCAGGTACCAACTTTCTCCGAAATGTAAAGCACAAAATGGTTTTTGTTGATTTAATCATGCATCTCTTTCCTGTTTTTTAGGAGAAGATATCTCCCACAAATGTAAAAATATAAGGATCTGTAAAAAAGACACATAGCGAGGAATGGTAGTTGCCGAAAATATTCTAAATTTGAAACATTTTTGCAAGGTAACTTGCCAAATCTGACTCTACCTTCTGTTGTCTCCTTCTCTAAATCTAAATGTTTGAAATATGTAATCAAGATGTCAAAATGTTGTGACCTTGAAGAAATAATGAGACAAAATTAAAATCTATAGGCAGAAATAAGTGTACAGGCAGAATCAGAAGAAGTGAGTAGCTCCCATGATTTCATATTCTATACTGGGATTCCCCAGTATATGATGTCCAATCAAATTGCAGGATGTGATCACGTGAACAATCATGAGCATGTGCTCTCTCAGTGCCGCACACGCGCAAACTAATATCATTACAAAACTACAGTAATGCTATTGAAGTTACTCGATCCAAACTTGTAGAGAATACTCACAAAACAACAGCGAACATTAGGAGATTCAGTTCAATGACAAATGAGGCCTGTTTATAAAATTGGTTATTGAACGTGCCAACACAAAAGGTAATCTCTGAGAATCTCCCCCCCCCCCAGGGCAAAATAGCACATTTTCATGATTTGAACATAATGACCAATCAAACTAGCTCATGATGTTCGTCAATGATCTCAATATGAACTCATCAACTGCAATATTAGATATTCAAGGATACCCTGTTTGGGAATGGTCTACGATTTCCTGGCATTTGTCTTGCTCTATCACGACTGAATCTTTCAGCTGGATGCGGTCTTCCTTGCTTCATGTCTTCTAAATTATGTAGTGCACTCTGAAACATTGAAACAGTGAATGCATTGATTCATTAACTGGGTCAGCTGATTATTCCTACATGTCACTGTCAGTCAGGTAAATTTAGCAAATGTGGACATCTTACCCGTAGATCAATTGAGTTGTTAGCCATCTGATTGACGTTTGGTAGCGACCCCCCTCTATATGCACCAAGATTCTGCAGCTGGAGTGTGTTATTTGGGTAGACTTTGTGCATACCGGGCTGCTGCAATGAAAAAAAAGAAAAATTCCAAGGCAATTTTTTACGAAAAAATCACATGCAACGCAAATTTTTGTATAAGGTGCGAGTTCATCTGAATTGGTGGGAATTCGAGGGAAACAGTGACTTACCCGCGTAGCCCCAGCAACATCTCGCATTATGGCCTCAAAAGCAGCCGTTTCTTCAGCCTGCTTTTGATTATGTAGGGCGATCTTCTCACTAAATTTTCTTGGGTTCGCCATTTTACTTATTATGGCCGTCAAATGTTGTGATTGGAACAATGCAGGGGGTCTTCTAGTTTTCAGCCAATCAGATTGCTGCAATTTTAATATGTTGATAAGTTGATTATTTCCTGCCGATTTCCTCCCGGGGATTTCTTGTTTCCCCTAAAATCACCGCATCTCTCTACACTTATGTTGATATCGAACCCAGGCATATGCATTTATAAGTTTCAAAACGCATGATCAGTTATAAAATTGGAAATCGACTTTGCAACTGCAAAGTTTATGATTTCAGTAATCGATTGTGGCCACAATTCAGCACCTGCTAAGGTCATTCTGAATGTGTCCTTGAAGGTCTAATTCTGCTCTAGCAGGGGTGGATCTGTAAATTGATGGGAAAAAAGGGGCAAAATGTGTTTTTCAAACCCACAATTCAATTTAGACCCACAATTTGAAAATTTTTTCCCCAAAACTTTTTTTCAAAATTCGGTGTGAAAAAAATCATGCCCCCCCCCCCCGGGATTATGGTCCCCTTTCTCAACGGCCCTCACCGGCCCTTTTTGTGTATAAGATATTAAGGGAAAGAGGTCACCATATAAATCAATGAGTAGTAGGACCATGATTTGATAGGACATATTACCCTTTACAACGGCTTTGTAGTAAAAACCTCGTAGCCCTACCCACGTACGTAGGCCAAGGCCACGACCCGTAGCCTACGTACACTACGTAATGTACTTACAATTGTCGGTACTCTAGACTTTGCTGTGTTGACACGCTAGAGGACCGACAAATAAATTGTCTGCACTTTAGCCCCTCCTAGTAGGAAACGCTAGAGAACCAAATGTCGACACTGAAGCCACTCCTAATAGGATCTAATAGAGAACTGACCAAAAGTCTGTGGGTCTGCTAAATACTGTAAAACATGCTAAATTCTCAAGCATAGTGATTTCGCCTTTATTTGCCTGAATGTAAAATAACGAATTTAAAACTGTGTATTTTCCTGAGTAATGTGGATGAATTAATGGAACAAATGAAGAATAAAAAGTACTAGTATACATTATTCTAATTGTGTTTCGTTTATTTTATTCAAGCGTTATGCAATTATAAAACAAACGTGAAGAAAAACTTAAAATGATATTTGAATACATTTGTTTGTTTCAACACAACATGCTGGTTATAAACAATAAAACATGAACAATATAAAGTAAGTTAAAAGAGCGTCTGTTGTTTAAAATACCAGTATCAGGGGAATAGCCAGCTTCCAGTCACTTATGCGTGCGATCGCCAAAAATCGCCTTTCAGTCGTACTGGAGACTGTCCACTGGGTATTTGCTGGGGTGCCGACAATTGTCGGTCCTGGAGCCACTCCGTATTTCGTATTACTTTTTAGAAAATCGAATAAAGGAAGGAGTACCTGTTTGAAGTAAGAAATGCTTAAATCGGTATTTAGGCTATCTTGGACAATAATAAGAAGCCTTCGACAAAATACGTTCAAAAATCATAATGGAAAAACGACCATTCCGAGGGTAGGACATTAGCGCCTTTTTCAGTAACTTCGAATTAGATAATAAAAGACTTCCAACGGAGCGTGCTATTTTGCATAGAAACACTAGGAAATCCACGCAATTAATTTTTTACTCATATGTTTTGCTATATCAAAGAAAAGCACCTACTCAATGCAATGGATATACCATTTGCGGGTAATTCTACCTTCTGTTTGACGTGCAAAAACGCTAAGAGTAAAAGCTATTGAAAACGGCGCCGGAGTACCATACTTCAAAATGTACCATTTCTTTTATTTCTTTTGAGTGAGTGGTATAATATAGTGATACGGTAATATTTATATATGTTTTCAGCATAACTCTGAAGGTATTAATGAGATCTTGATGTATTGGGTATTTTTAATTTTTTTTTAATAAAAAATAGTGTAATGGATACAGTTCAAATATCAAAACATTACGTAAACTATAAAGTGGTTTAATTCGATGAAAGCAAATAATTTTTTACAAGTTTCTGGTTTTCAATGGTAACTGAAAAGCTACGAGTTTTGATATTTGAACTGTATCCATTACATTATTTTTTATAAAAAAAATTAAAAATACCCAAATACATCAAGATCTCATTAATATAATACCTTCAGAGTTATGCTGAAAACATATGTAAATATTATCGTGTCACTATATTATACCCGGGATATTATACCGCTCACTCAAAAGAAATAAAAGAAATGGTACATTTTGAAGTATGGTACTCAGGCGCCGTTTTCATAGCTTTTACTCTAAGCGTTTTTGAATAGTACAAGGGCGCTAATACCTTATAACCAGGACTTCCACAACATATTTTTGAATAGTACAAGGGCGTCAGAACGTCCAAAACATATTTTTAAATAATACAACTTAAGGGCACTATAACCAGGACTTCCACAACATATTTTTAAATAGTACAAGGGCGCTAATACCTTATTACCAGGACGTCCACAACATATTTTTAAATAATATAAGGGCACTAATACCTTATTACCAGGGCGCCCACAAAATGTTTTTGAATAATATAAGGGCTTTTATACCTTATAACCAGGACGTCCACTACATATTTTGAATAATACAAGGGCGTCAGAACGTCCAAAACATCTTTTTGAATAGTACAAAGGCACTTATACCTCATTACCAGGGCGTCCACAACATGCTTTTGAATAATATAAGGGCTTTATACCTTATAACCAGGACGTCCACACCATATTTTTGAATAATACAAGGGCGTCAAGACGTCCACAACATAATTTGAATAATACAGCTTAAGGGCGCTAATACCTTATAACCAGGACGTCCACAACATATTTTTGAATAGTACAAGGGCATTAGGACATCCACAAAATATTTTTGAATAGTACAAGGGCGCTAATACCTTATTACCAGGACGTCCACAACATATTTTTAAATAGTACAAGGGCGCTAATACCTTATTACCAGGACGTCCACGACATATTTTTTAATAGTACAAGGGCGCTAATACCTTATTACCAGGACGTCCACAACATATTTTTAAATAGTACAAGGGCGCTAATACCTTATTACCAGGCATAAGTTACTAACAATAAAAAGGAATTCATTACAATAGTTCAAAATAAATATTTTATTTTCAAAATTAGAAAAACAACATAATTTACAAGAATACAAATCATATCTATCATTTCATTTTTTTCAAAGTCAATGGATTATGGCAATCTTCAATTTTTAGGGACGGCCTTGTCTTTTCATCATTAATCAGATTACATCTGTCTCTTGACAATTTCTTTAACCAGTCAAGTTGCAGAGTCTATGTTCTGTAAAAGGCAGATATATAACTTTACAATTAGTACAATTTGTTTATAGTACTATAAAATACAAAATTAGACCTTAGAATTTATTATTTCATACCTCATATGTATTCTATACGCTTATTGGTCAATTCATGGTCACATGATATGAAATAGATAGACTAATTCCCTGGAAAGTACTAAATCCCCGCTTTCGCAGATTACGGGGAAGATAAAAGCTACTAATGACTGATGACGCCATTGAAATCCCAGGAAAACGACTCGCATCATTAGTGCGCATTCAAAGTTCAGTTCAGACAACAATATGGCTGGTCGTTTCGAAACGATAAATGACGATGATTTAGATGAATTGATGGACCAAGCCGATTCTTTGGCTACAAAAAACATTATCAAATCTTCAAGGAAACTCTTTGAAGAGTACTGTGGAGAAACTAACTGCGATGCTGACTCAGACAATCCAGAAATGATAGGATCTATATTGGAGAAATTTTGGAGGGCCTGCCGGAAACAAGAAATGTCTTAATATTTTTTATTTGGAATACATATGAGGTATGTAATAAAACAAATAGTGACTGCCAAATGTCAGTGGACAGGATATTCCCTCGGGGAGAATAGTTTGCCCTATTGCCCTCAATGGCAGTCACTATTTGTATAAAAATACATCATTGGTTTGAAGATCTGGTATTGCAAGATAATTTTGCACCAAGTAGCAAAAAACATTTTACTCATTCAATATTAAATTAATCATGCCATCTATTCATCCGCTCACTTACACAAAAGAGGTCACTCAACAGTAATGTTAAATTCAATTTAGTACAATTATTGTGGCTTTTTGGACAAATAGAGAGGATATAATTTAATGTTTGCTACTGATAACAAAAAATAATAACATTATAGGATATTCTTCAAAATTACAATTCCCTCATGCTTTGAGCTTATTGAAGCAACATACAATTTCACAGCCCAGTCTTTAGCGCAGCTCCATAAACTTTGTTTGTTAGGTAAATAGCACATGTTAAACGACATTTTGTGTCAAAATTGTACACTAAAGTACAAAATTAAAAACTTTATAGTCCCATTACATGTATGTATATGTTAATATTGATAAAATGATATCGCAAATGTGGTATCTGATTGAGCACTATTTAGTACATTGTAAATCACAAAATACAATGTAAAATACAAAATACAATGTAAAATACAACTTACAGTGTAAAATTCAAACTACAGTGTAATACACAAAGCATAGTGTGACATATAAAGGACAATGTGGCATAAAATGTAAGCGAAACAAAGTGCAGTGAGACATATAAAGTACAATGTGACATATAAAGTACAATATGACATACAAAGTACAATGTGACATACAAAGTATAATGTGACAAAGTACAGTGTGACATACAAAGTATAATGCAACAAAGTACAGTGTGACATACAAAGTATAATGTGACAAAATACAGTGTGACAAAATACAGTGTGACATACAAAGTATGTGACAAAATTCAATGTGACATACAAAGTATAATGTGACAAAGTACAATGTGAAATACAAAGCAAAATGCAACAAAGTACAATGTGACATAAAAAGTATAATGTGACAAAGAATGGTGTGATATTGAAAGTATAATGCAACAAAGTACAGTGTGACATACAAAGTATAATGAGACAAAATACAGTGTGACATACAAGTATAGTGTAACAAAGCACAATGTGACATAGAAAGTATAATGTGACAAAGTACAGTGTGACCTACAAAGTATAACTTGACAAAGTACAGTGTGACATATAAAGTATAATGTGACATAAGAACAGTGTGACATAGAAAGTATAATGTGACATAAGAACAGTGTGACATTCAAAGTATAATGCAACAAAGTACAGTGTCACATACAAAGTATAATGCAACAACGTACATTGTGACATAAAAAGTATAATGTGACAAAGAACAGTGCGACATGCAAAGTATAATGAGACAAAGTACAGTGTGACATACAAAGTACAATAAGACAAATAGAGAACAGTGTGACACACAAAGAAAGGAGTGACATGCTGCATATTCATTATACAAAGTAGTGTAACCAAAAAACAAAGTTCAGGAAAAACTCATAGAACTGTTCACTTACCCATAGCACTCAAATTAATGACAATTCAAAGTGTGAGAATTTAGATTATGTAATACAGGGTTATGTACGCAGGGCAATGAATGCAGGGCTATAGATGCATCTAAATTTGCAGTTGTACATGATTGTAGAAAATATACACATACCATATGGTATATGGTCCCAGCAAAAATAAAGGAAATTTTCAAGATTTAAAGGCAGAATCAAATCTAACATGTATTCATCATTATCTCCATCATGATCTTTTTTTTCCATACAGACTTCTACAGTATTTCATGTTATAAATTTAACATCATACATCATGATCTTGAGGAAAATTCTTTCAACTGTAGAATATTTTGGGCTCATATCATTCCTTGTCATGTCTATTTCCTAAAGAACACTTTGCACTTAATAACTTCACCAAATGATAACATATTATCGATCTTTTGGGAGATATTATATTTGTGCTTGTAAGGCAAGATGGTAGGTCAATTGTACATGTTGCTTGCAATTTTGTCACCCCTTTAGATCTGATTCTGCCTTTAATAGGTCAATTGTACATATTGCTTGCAATTTTATCACCCCTTCAGATCTGATTCTGCCTTTATTAGGTCAATTGTACATATTGCTTGCAATTTTGTCCATCCATTTAGATCTGATTCTGCCTTTAATAGGTCAATTGTACATATTGTTTGCAATTTTGTCGCCCTTATAGATCTGATTCTGCCTATAATTGGTCAATTGTACATATTACTTGCAATTTTTCACCCCTTTAGATCTGATTCTGCCTCTAATAGGTCAATTGTACATATTGTTTGCACTTTTGTCACCCCTTTGATCTGATTCTGCCTTTAATAGGTCAATTGTACATATTGCTTGCAATTTTATCACCCCTTTAGATCTGATTCTGCCTTTAATAGGTCAATTGTACATATTGCTTGCAATTTTGTCACCCCTTTAGATCTGATTCTGCCTTTAATAGGTCAATTGTACATATTGCTTGCAATTATATCACCCCTATAGATCTGATTCTGCCTTTAATAGGTCAATTGTACATATTGCTTGCAATTTTGTCACCCCTGAAGATCTGATTCTGCCTTTAATAGGTCAATTGTACATATTGCTTGCAATTTTGTCACCCCTTTCTGCCTTTAATAGGTCAATTGTACATATTGCTTGCAATTTTGTCACCCCTTTAGATCTGATTCTGCCTTTAATAGGTCAATTGTACATATTGCTTGCAATTTTATCACCCCTATAGATCTGATTCTGCCTTTAATAGGCCAATTGTACATATTGCTTGCAATTTTGTCACCCCTGAAGATCTGATTCTGCCTTTAATAGGTCAATTGTACATATTGCTTGCAATTTTGTCACCCCTGAAGATCTGATTCTGCCTTTAATAGGTCAAATGTACATATTGCTTGCAATTTTATCACCCCTTTAGATCTGATTCTGCCTTTAATAGGTCAATTGTACATATTGCTTGCAATTTTGTCACCCCTGAAGATCTGATTCTGCCTTTAATAGGTCAATTGTACATATTGCTTGCAATTTTGTCACCCCTGAAGATCTGATTCTGCCTTTAATAGGTCAATTGTACATATTGCTTGCAATTTTATCACCCCTATAGATCTGATTCTGCCTTTAATAGGTCAATTGTACATATTGCTTGCAATTTTGTCACCCCTGAAGATCTGATTCTGCCTTTAATAGGTCAATTGTACATATTGCTTGCAATTTTGTCACCCCTGAAGATCTGATTCTGCCTTTAATAGGTCAATTGTACATATTGCTTGCAATTTTGTCACCCCTGAAGATCTGATTCTGCCTTTAATAGGTCAATTGTACATATTGCTTGCAATTTTGTCACCCCTGAAGATCTGATTCTGCCTTTAATAGGTCAATTGTACATATTGCTTGCAATTTTGTCACCCCTTTAGATCTGATTCTGACTTCAATAGGTCAATTATACATATTGCTTGCAATTTTATCACCCCTCTAGATCTGATTCTGCCTTCAAGTTTAATTCTGAGTGTCAAACATGTAGAATTTGCAATTACAATAAATAAATAGCACAATTAATTGTCATGGTTATAAGTTGCATTGTATATTCAATTAACAGGTTAAGTATAATGCTTTAAGTAGGTTTAGACTAGACATTTAAAGGATAAAGATAGTAATTCAATTTATTTATGGTGCAATGCATGATTTATAGTGCAACATATGACCTGTATAATTTCTGATGAATGTTCAAAGTACAAAATGTTGAAGCGACTGAGGTCTTTAGCATTTGGCAGAATAAAATTTCATGCATTACATTTGCTATATTATAGATTCAAGATCTTTTTACAATTCTAATATGAAAAATGATCAAAAAATCTAGATGTATTTGAAAGTCCACAATCGGAAACAATACCTCGATTGTCTATTTATTGTGACATCATTTATTTTGACATCATATAGTGTGACATCATTTATCATATTAAATTGTCTATAAATAAAAAAGATTCTTATTTTCACTGGTAGCATTTTGTTCAGACAGACATCTCCTTTCACTGTCAACAGTTGATTGCTATAGTAACAAAATAGAAACTAACGATCCTTTTTGTTGTTATTTTTCATTGTGTCACCCTGTGCCATATAATTGTCACCCTGTGCCATATATGTGTCACCATGTGCCATATAATTGTCACCCTGTGAACTATCGACATTAGCCAAATCTTTAGAAATAGTTAAATCTTTAGAATCAACTAAGTCGTTATCATTTTTTGCAATTGAACCATTTCTGACATTTGATCCATTCAATACATTTGATCCATTTGATATATTTGATCCATTCAATACATTTGATCCATTCAATACATTTGATCCCTTAGTTATAGTTGAATCACTGCTTTGTGTTACACATCTCTGACTTTTCAATATGGCAAACATTTTAGAATATTTTTTGAAAGCATATTTTACGATACTTATCCAAAACAACCAACTTATAATATAAATCGTTGTTCCTCCTAGACGTCCAAAAAAATCTGGTCTTGGGTGATTTAAATAGCACACCCAGAGAACAGTTCCGCATATGATACGCATGAATCCAAAAGTACAAATGAACGCCATGTCATTGAGCTCAGCAAGATTTGAGTCTCCTAATCCACTTTCACGAAAAAAACCATCGAATTTGTAGAAAGGGATTGGATATTTCCGTTCCAAATAATGTGCCAATCATTTCTGTCCCGTAGATGCCTCTATAAACAGTCATTGAGAGACCTAGGACGCTGACTAAGTGGTGAATCATCATTATAGCCCCTGGAAGACAAATTTATCATCATCTTTTTAAAGATGAAATATAATGGGATATACAGTAAAACCTGTGTGGAATACCTTTGGTATGTAGTAAGGAGGTGTTCTTACATACACACATAATGTATCCTCTGGTCCCAAAAAATCTCTGCGACAACATGCAATGCTCATAACTTTTAATAAAGGAAACCATACAATTTCATACTTTCGGGGTTTGATGCCCTCTAATAAAATGTTGCAAGTTGTGCTTGGAAGTTGCCAGTTAAATAGTACAGATATTGTTATGGAAACTCTGATAGTGCATTTTTGGAAATATTAGAAGACTGGCTTTTAATAACTTAATCTATTGAATTACACATCGCAATGTACATCGAAAAAAAGTCTGAGAAAATTGCACTGAAATACAGAAAGCAAATGCTTTAAAATACCGAACGGAATGAATAAATAATAGTACGCTGGTACATCCGAGTACTTCCGGTAACAGTGAAGTGAAAGTAAAGACATGAGAAAGGAAAGGGTGATTTTTAATTTAATTTTTTTAAAACATTGATGTTTTGTTTCAGACATTGATGTTTTTTGATTTTTAGCAACTTTTTTTTACATTATTCTTCAATTTTAAGTGAACGACCCCCAGAAAAGATTTAAGGCTTTAAGCTCAAACTTCATCCAGGTTTGCCTCTACATGTATCACTAAATTTCAAGTAACAAGGAACTTACCTTCAGTTCTTGAGAAAATACACCAAGTGAAGTCAAACAGGAAGTAGCCCAATGAAAGCATGCATGCCATATGCTGTAGCTGAGTATTAGGACCACCTAGAATAAGAATTTACAGGATAATTATAATATCCTGAGCATGGACCGAAATATTTGGTACACAGGGATTTTCTGTCCTGAGACCAAAGTCAGGAAGGACGGGACAATATCGGGAAACTGATATTATGGAGAATTGTGTGATATTTTTCCGAAAATCATTTATCAACCGCATATGTGAATGATATCTTTTATCAGAATACAATTTTTTAATTGTAATCATGGGATAAATTCAATATCAGATCATTTCTAGAGATATGTCATTCTTATATGCATTATGACATCATATTGCTCTCATTATATGTCGTTCTTATGTATTATGAGTATGACCTCATATTGCTCTCACTATATGTCATTCCATTGTATTATGACCTCATATTTCTCTAACTATATTGTCATTCTTATGTATTATGACCTCATAAATCTAACTATATGTCATTCTTATATGCATTATGACCTCATATTGCTCTCACTATATGCCATTCTTATGTATTATAACCTCATATTGCTCTCACTATACATGTATGTCATTCTTATATGTATTATGACCTCATATTGCTCTCACTATATGTCATTCTTATGTATTATGACCTCATATTGCTCTCACTATATTGTCATTCTTATATGTATTATGACCACATATTGCTCTAACTATATGTCATTCTTATGTATTATGACCACATATTGCTCTAACTATATGTCATTCTTATGTATTATGACCTCATATTTCTCTCACTATATTGTCATTCTTATATGTATTATGACCACATATTGCTCTAACTATATGTCATTCTTATGTATTATGACCTCATATTTCTCTCACTATATTGTCATTCTTATATGTATTATGACCACATATTGCTCTAACTATATGTCATTCTTATGTATTATGACCTCATATTACTCTAACTATATGTCATTCTTATATGCATTATGACCTCATATTGCTCTAACTATATGTCATTCTTATGTATTATGACCTCATATTGCTCTCACTATATTGTCATTCTTATATGTATTATGACCACATATTGCTCTAACTATATGTCATTCTTATGTATTATGACCTCATATTACTCTAACTATATGTCATTCTTATATGCATTATGACCTCATATTGCTCTAACTATATGTCATTCTTATGTATTATGACCTCATATTGCTCTCACTATATGTCATTCTTATGTATTATAACCTCATATTGCTCTCACTATATTGTCATTCTTATATGTATTATGACCTCATATTGCTCTAACTATATGTCATTCTTATGTATGACCTCATAAATCTAACTATATGTCATTCTTATATGCATTATGACCTCATACTGCTCTCATTATATGTTATTTTTATGTATTATGACCTCATATTGCTCTAACTATATGTCATTTTTATGTATTATGACCACATATTGCTCTCACTATATGTCATTTTTATGTATTATGACCACATATTGCTCTCACTATATGTCATTTTTATGTATTATGACCTCATATTGCTCTAACTATATATCATTTTTATGCCTAATTTCTGTTGTCTTTCTGTATAATGTGAAAGAAAAGTTGACATTTACCAGGATCTGTAAATGGCCATGGTCCTTGTATAAAAGCACACCAGCCGCAGACAGCCACCATGGATACTGCATGCAACAGCGTCACAATTCTACATTGCCACTCATATGTTCTGGTGGGATTCACGATGCATAGTGTCAAATAGATGGTGCTCCACATCAACGTAATGCTGAGAACGGGAAGTATTGCATCATAGCCATCATAGTCTGTTACTTCCATTCTCTGAAATAAACGGAAGATTTCATAGTGACAACAATGACAACAGGCCTTCTAACTCTTTTTTTATTCTTAATTTTGTGAACACAAACATCAAAAATTAAACATTTGGTGGAACAATTCTACAACATCTTGTATTTATATGTTTTGCAATGATGAGTCACCTATGAGACACAGAAAATATGTGTTTAGTCTAATCCCATGCCAGAGTCTACAGTCCTGTATCAAGTGCATTCTTTTGCCTGTACGATTACAACTTGGGTGAATTATCTATGCCCCTTATACTTAAGATACCTACCTCATGCATTATAGAGCTCAAAATTTAACTTCTAATATATTGGAACCGCCAATTGTCTGGGTATATCGGCAGAGCGGGAACATTTTTCTTTTATATCGAGAGAGATTCCATCACTTTTCAAGATGGGGGTTGGATTTAAAAGGGGATTCCCCGTTTGACTGTCCCGGATGTGGCCGGGAAGTAACAATAAATGGAGGAATTTGACAGTTGAAATAAGTTAAATATTACATGCAAATATTCCGATCAGAAACAAAAATTTCTGCCGATTAACCCAGACAATTGTGGATTCAACTACACGAAAAGAATGCTAAAATACCAAAGAATCTATTGAAGTAGTGTAAGAAGCGTAAACAATTCTCCCATGTTGTAATCGCACAGGCAAAAGATTGAGATGTTCTCAGGACTATAGTCCTGGCACGGGATAAGTTACAGAGCAGCCCTGGTAGTTTCCGGGGCGATTTATGGTACGTGCAAGCAAAAATTATATAAATGTTTAAACTGGAAAACCATAGCGGAGAGAAGAGAAGAAAAACAAAGTATTCACATGTTCAAAGTCCGATCAATTTTGACCCCCTCTTATGTAGTCTCTATATATGAAAAACTGTCCAATCCTGGTGCCGAAAGGGAGCTCCGCTCCAGAAGAGAATATGTTTTACCAGTGAGAGCGTCTGTGAAATACCTAAATTCACCAGCCATAAAGCCTATCTCCATTTGGAAAAATCTTTCAACTGAAATAAAAACATCGCCAACCCTAGCAATCTTCAAGAAAAACTATAATAAGAAATATACATTTCATAAAAAGAATATTTTAACAAAAAATCTTAATTTGAAAAGGTCTTCTGAAACTAAACTTAATAAAATAAGAAGCGACCTTGCCCTTAAAAGTGACTTTTTTAGACATAATTTCAACAACATCATAGATCCTTCTTGCCCCTGCGGCCACCGAAATCAAGATAAGATTCATCTTTTACTCGACTGCCCTCTAACCGCCATACATAGAAATGATTACATACAGAACATCCTAAAGTTAGACAATCTTGATATTATGTGCTATTTTGGAAAAACCAGAAAGCAAAAAATAGAATTTATACTTTATGGAGATGAAAATTTAAATAGTGAACTGAATACAAAATGCCTTCAACTATCTTCAAATTATATCGATAACATCTTAGAATGACCATCCTCCTCATTTCACATCATCTCTCATTAACACTCATATACATCATCATGGGCAAGACCTGGTGGACGACCGTCTGTCCGTTGCAATCCTACACACTCCAGTGATTTATTATATGTTTTTAACTTTCTAGAGGGGGGCCAATAATGCTATGTAGCCTCGGCCCCTCACAATCTATGTAAATAATTATGTTGAATATTATAGAAATAAATAACAATAACCTATAAAAAAAAAAGTTTAGTCTAGTTACGGACACAACATAAAAATGTTACAAAGGCTTGAAGCACGTGGGGCCGGCATATCTTTGAGTACAACCAGGGATTTTAGTGACCACACTAAGCACGCTTTATCAAGTGGCAAAAGTCACCTTTTTGACTTGGCCATAAAACAGAAGGTGTATCCCCTATTCTAGCCACTAAGTTGTACAATAGCTTTACTATCCAGAAGCTAACAAGGGGGAGCCAAAATTTTGAGTCAGTAGAAAAATGGTAGTCGGATTTCAATCTCAAATTCAGAGTCGGATTCCTGAAAAATTTCTACATTTATTTCATAGCTCATAATAAATTTGGAGAACATTTTGTTTTGACCTACTTTCCGGCCGTCATATATCAAAATCGGTAAGATTAATTAACAAAGGACAGTCACAGAAATGAAAGGGCTGTTTCTAAGCTACATGATGAAAAAAAGATGAAGGAATAATGAGGAATAGTAATGAAGATAATTGACAGAATGTTGGAAATGTAAAATTTGACCTAGTTCTTGACCTTGGCTTTTCAGTGTCCAAATATTCTAATTAAAGTAGCTTTGGAGGGCCTCTTCTATTGTAGGCTTTCATTTATTTTATTTGTATCCAGTCTGTAAAGTGTATCTTTACAATTCATAATCTTCTTGAGCTCCATAGATTTAACAGAGGGATATCATCATATCAATTTTTTTAAATTTCAGAACATCATAACTTCCAAGTTGGAAGTCCAATCAAAATTTTGTTTGCAGATTTGGATTCCTGAGAAAATTCTACTCTTATTTCATAGCTCACACATAAAGGAGAAGGTTTTGTTTTTACATTCTTTCTGGACACCATATCTTAAAAGTAGGTAAAATAACTTTCTTCATTTACTTGGAATGCTCTAAAAACCCTTCTTCCTTCGACCTTTAACCTTAGACTTATTGGGCGTTCAGAAGTTCTTGAAATAAAACGTTGTAAAAACCCTTCGACCTATCAACGACCTATTGAGTTCTAAGTTGAGATTCGTAAGTTTAATTCTCAAAATGTTGATTGTAGTCCCAGGATGTAGGTAAATTTGTTTCAATTGATCAACAAGGCACAGACGTGAACAATATCGTACCTAAAACACAGCATTGTGGTCTTGTTGACCAAGAAAGCAAGATGGCTGCAGAAAAGTTAATCAGCTCTAGAACTTATCACTGTGTAACATATGTAAAAATTTGAACGGTTTGGCTGGAAACCTGTAGACAAGTCTTGAAAGTGAAGATTTTAGGACGGAAAATCCAAAATGGCCACCTTAAAATTTACCCAGAATGCCCAAAAACCAATCAGTTCTTGACATTGATATGTAGAAACATCCCTGAAAATTTCAGATGAATCTCTCAAATGGTTTGGCTGAAAATCTGTAGACAAGTCTTGAAAGTGAAGATTTTATGACAGAAAATCCAAAATGGCCACCTTAAAATTTAACCAGAATGCCCAAAAACTAATCAGTTCTTGACGTTGATATGTAGAAACATCCCTGAAAATTTCAGATAAATCCCTCAAAAGGTTTGGCTGGAAACCTGTAGACAAGTCTTGAAAGTAAAGATTTTAGGATGGAAAATCCAAAATGGCCACCTTAAAATTTAACCAGAATGCCCAAAAACTAATCAGTTCTTGACGTTGATATGTAGAAACATCCCTGAAAATTTCAGATGAATCCCTCAAATGGTTTGGCTGGAAACCTGTAGACAAGTCTTGAAAGTGAAGATTTTAGGACGGAAAATCCAAAATGGCCACCTTAAGATTTACCCAGAATGCCCAAAAACTAATCAGTTCTTGACGTTGATATGTAGAAACATCCCTGAAAATTTCAGATGAATCCCTCAAATGGTTTGGCTGGAAACCTGTAGACAAGCTGAAAAGTGAGACGCCGCCCGCCGCCCGTCAAGCTGACTACAATATCGTACCTTTTGTTAGGTACGATAAAAAGTTGCAGCCTATGAAAAGATATCACAGATGTTAAACTTAATCTGGCCCCAATTAAGATCAGATTAATGAACACCAGGCCATCCAACTGTCCCGCAATTTGTGTATCTGTCACACATTTGCTCTCTATGTCAATAATCTGCAAAAGGCTAATAAGCCCATAATAAAGCAGATATATAATTTAACAGTGATAGAATTTGAATAGAATATAATTTAAAGGGGCAATAAGGCTTGTAGAGAGAAAATAGGTAATTTTTAACTTTTTCTGAGCTATCAAGGCAACAGTTGGCTTAACATCTTCTTTGACATACCTATTTTCTTAAAATGTTTGGATAAACTATCAATTTCGGCATTAAAAAGTGTAAATTCAGTTCAAAGCTTCAAAAAGGGGACGTCCACTTTTATATTTTTAAGATCCAGCATGTTTCAAGAGGAATATAAGCTGAAATAATGATTATCTAGGGGGTTTCGTTGTAGAAAATAAAAATAGATGTTAGTCTTGATGAAATATCCAAACTTAAATATATTTTGACACTGGTCCATGATCGTTGAATGGCCCCTCTGCACTACTTGTTGCACCTTTAAAACCTAACATTCAAAAATAGATCTATGGTTTACAAGTCATTCCACAATGTAACCTAGTAGGATGGATGAAATAGAACAAACTGATAAGTAGACACATGGTTACATTTCATTATTTCGTTATTTTAACCATATGAACTGGTCACTAGAATTTCTGTTTTATTTTTAATTATGATTTAATTTTCGTAAGAGGGAAGAAAACATCCGCCATTAATTGCTGGAATTACACATGGCGTTTTACAAAAGCGTCTTCGGTTTTAACCAGGTTTAAGAATTAGGTGTAATCACGATTGCGGTTTTACAAAAGCGCTTTTCTAAAACTCCAAGAACCCTTGTCACTAGTAAACGGCATAAGTCGTTACAGTAAAATTTTAAATGTTTGTGACTACTTTGAATTTAAAAAATAAGCAATCAAATGACCAAATTGAAACAGTTTATGAAAAAATAGAAACATTTATATTTATCCTAACTTTTGTATATTTTAGTTTGTTTTGTAGTTTAGATATCATATCTGTGTCCTCTTATATTTTGATACTTCTCTGCCATGTTATTTTCGGAAAAATTAACATGGCTGAAACTCTCTAAATTACAAAAGGCCACAGCTTTGCTGCACATTATACATTACTATCTGAAATATACAAAAGTTGGGATAAATATAAATGTTTCTAATTTTACATAAAATGTTTCAATTTGGTCATTTGATTGCTTATTTTTTAAATTCAAAGTAGTTACAAACATTTCTGTTTTGACTGTAGGCGCTTTAAGTGTGCGGTGTAATACCGATCGGTTTTTGTAAGACGCCTTACCCGGGTGTTTAGTTTTTAACATAATTGCCCTAAACGAAATATTTGATACATTTGATACATGATGAGACATCTGGTCACGCTGCTATCTGGCTATATCTAAATTGAAAAATGGATGATGGTCGCCAGGTCACATCGAAATCAAGCGTTATCTTCAGAGAATATGTACATATTTTTCTTTTACCTTTTTATTATGTTTTCTCATAATTAATAAAACATAAATAAAAATTATGCAATGTCATGCATTTTTAATCAAATTATGGAAGATCAGTTTTGTCTTAGATGCAAAAAGAATACATTTACAGGAGATGTACACATGTATGCTGAATATTATCCATAACTACATTGTTAAAAGTGCACGAAAGGCGTTTTAGAAAAAACAGGTGTAATTCCAAAACATAATTCCTAAGACGCTTTAGAAATGTTGGTGTAATCAGAATGGCGATTTTGTAAGACGCCTTCCACTAAAACGTTTTAGCGGATTTTGTGGTGTAATTCCAGCAGTCGACACATGCGCACTTCAAATATCATGCATTTGCTTCTTCTGGCTTGCTAATTAATATCATAATATGTGTAGCTTGTTATTTTGGATCAAGATAAAGACAGGTGTAACGAATAAAACATCGATTAAAATATCACAACGACATGTTATTCTCAAAAACTAACAGTTGAGAAGGTAGTACGCAAGAGACATAATTAAACCTGTTAAGGTTCAGCTGGAAAGTAACATTTTGGTAAAAAATTGCTATACCTGCACATGTTATTTTCTGGTACAAAATTAAGTATGAAGGCATGTGTTTATTTCCTTGCTTTTTTCAGGAAAGTATCATTACACTGTCTACTTTTAGTAAACCTGGAAACAGGTCAATGGTTATCCTGTTCCCGGACTATAGTCCTGTACGGAGCCCATACATTTGCCTGTACGATTACAACTTGGGAGAATTATCTACGCCCCTTCCACTTAAGAAACCTACCTCAATGCATTCTAGAACTCAAAATGTAACTTCTAATATATTGGAACCGCCGATTGTCTGAGTTAGTTGGCAGAACGAGGTCTTTTTGTTTCTTATGGCTCTTTTGGTCGAAGTTCGATTAAGATGGCGGTTATAACGGAATTTCCCGAACTCTTCCGTAATAGCACGAACTTGGTTTTTCGTTACTTCACTTCCATGTAAAATGGATTTGTTTCCGGTAAGAAACATTGTTTAACCATTCGGTATACAGTTAAGAGCATAGGATGTCGACATGGCAGTAAATATTGAAAATATTGTCCGAAATTTTCGAAATTCCCTCTTACCCGAAACAAATCCATTTTACACGGAAGTGACGTAACGAAAAACCAAGTTCGTGCTATTACGGAAGAGTTCGGGAAATTCCGTTATAACCGCCATCTTAATCGAACTTCGACCAAAAGAGCCATAAGAAACAAAAAGACCTCGTTCTGCCAACTAACCCAGACAATCGGCGGTTCCAATATATTAGAAGTTACATTTTGAGTTGTAGAATGCATTGAGGTAGGTTTCTTAAGTGGAAGGGGCGTAGATAATTCTCCCAAGTTGTAATCGTACAGGCAAATGTATTGGCTCCGTACAGGACTATAGTCCTGGAACGGGATAAGTCAATGGTAGCTCCTGTGCTGTCTGAAAACTTTGAAAGAAAATTTGAAAAAATAGAAAGTGTGAAATATCAGAATTTCCTGGAGTTCCCATCAAACTCCTACTAGATATTCTTAAAGAAGACAATGTAATGATACTTTCCTGAAAAAAGCAAGGCAATTGACAATTGTCTTCATACTTTATTTTGTACCAGAAAATAACATGTGCTGGTATAGCAATTTTTTACCAAAATGTTACTTTCCAGCTGTACCTTAACTCTTAAATTCTGGGTCTTTCACCCCTCATATAGACCCTAGAGTTCATAAATTTTGGTCCTTTTTCCCACGGATAGTGGGAAGTCCTCCATCTAGGAGGTATATATACAGCAGAAATAATATAAGTAATATATTGAGGACTTCCCACTATCCGTGCTTTTGCCAATTGGGCGATAATAGAGTAAAATTCATTTATGCATTCATTTTCGGACTATAGCTTACAAAGAACTAGTGGATTAATCCAACATTTGGATAAGGCATATTGAATGATCAATCATCATATCAAAGCGATCATGCACCTTCAAATCTTTATATGATAGGAAAAACTCCTTACCAAATTTTCGAATTTCACATACTTTTCCAAGGTATAAGTCCACTAAATGAACGAACCCTAGATAATGGAAATTCCCCTCTTAGAGAAGTCCATCAATGTTCATCACGTGACAAACCATATCAACGTGAACTCGACATTAGACATTTTCATATGACTAGTAAAATGTATAACTTAAGTTAAATTGAAGTTTGACCCCAACCACATGCCTGTCTACAGTGAGTACCCTATAAATACAGTTATTACCCCGGGCTTAGTAGACAGAAAGTGCGATAAATTTTAAACGCAGTATTCTAAACATTATTAATAATGAAACTTGAAATCATGGCCAATGTCACTTGTAAATCTTAGATATGTATGCGTATATGTATGTATATGTATGCCAATGGGAAAGTACCAAAATGGTTAAAGAACACTCCAAGAAAAAGAAAACATCTAAGAGTACACAAATCATAAGAAAAACAAACCCCAACTTTCCCAAATCATAATCAAATGTGAAAAGAAAGTGTCTAAAAAACCCTCTCCTGCAGTGGATTTTAGTGGGGGGGGGGGGTGCTGGGAAGTCATTCATATTTTAATTTTGAGAAAATGTTCAGGTTGCCCCAAATTATATTATATTACCCCCAATATATTAGCACCCAATCTAGTACTAAATCCTGGATCCGAGTGTGACTCCCCCACCACTAAGAACCAATATAACAATCATAACACCATAACACCATGAAGTATTTCATTCATACTGAAGTCATTACAATATATGTTATGACGTATACATAAAAATTTTGGGTGAGACTTGCAAATTTGCATAAAATAACACTCAAAATTGAAACTTCTGATTGGGTTTGGTGAAATCACATGAGTTGCCTCGGATATAACCTAGCAAAAGCAAGAATTCACACGCTTTTTCTCTAAGAATCACATTATCATAACTACGCCTTTTTGCCCATTTAAGGAGGATGGCAATCTCAATGTTAGTCACAATCGTTTTCTCAGCTTTTAAGCATATACCTAGTCAGTAACAATCTTTTGACAGATAGCCAGCATGGCTTTGTCCCAGGGAAGTCATGCATCACTCAACTATTACAAGTAATGGAGGACTGGACCCAAATTCTGGAAGAAGGGGACCCCTTAGATGCAATATATTTCGACTTCAGTAATGCGTTCGGAGCCGTCCCGCACCAGCGCCTGTTAAACAAAATAAACGGCTATGGAATAAAGGGAGACCTCTTTAACTGGATTAAGGCATATCTCCTTGGAAGAAGGCAGAGAGTTAAAATCAACAATAGCTTCTCAACATGGTCGGATGTCCAGTCTGGAATCCCTCAAGGAACTTGCCTCGGGCCGATCTTATTCATAATGTACATTAATGACATGCCTGACAAGATAAACAGTAATATAAAAATCTTTGCTGATGATACAAAGATCTATGGACCCGTGAAGAACATTGATGGAAGGAGAAATATTCAACATGATATAGATACCCTTGTGGAATGGTCAGAAAAATGGCAACTGAAATTTAATCCATCAAAATGTTCAACAATGCACCTTGGAAATAAAAACCCAAAGGAAAACTACACAATGAACAATAACAACATCAAAGCTACAAAATTAGAGAAAGACCTTGGGGTGCACATGGACCCAGAGTTAAAATTTCATAAACATGTGAATAAATGCACCAGTAAAGCAAATCAAGTATTGGGAATCATCAATAGAACTTTTTCCAGCCTAGACGAAACAACTCTCCCATTACTTTATAAAACTATGGTAAGACCCCATCTTGAATATGGAAATTCAGTATGGCACCCAAGATACCAAATGGACATTAACAAAGTGGAAGACGTCCAAAGGAGAGCAACTAAATTGGTTCCAACTTTGAAACATCTCCCCTATCATGAGAGGCTCCAGAGGCTCAAATTATATTCCCTGAGTTATAGGAGGAAACGGGGAGATATGATAGAAGTGTACAAGATAATGAATGGAATCTACAATTTGAAAATAGACCAGTTCTTCAAAAAGTCAACATTACCAACAAGGAAGAGGACATACCCACAAAATAAGAAAACCACAGACTAGACTGGAACTAAGAAAGAATGCCTTCAGTACCAGGATTGTAGACAACTGAAACTCTCTACCCCAGGATGTTATTGATGCCCCCTCAGTTTCCCGCTTCAAGACCCTCTTAGACAGGACGTGGCACTCAGATATATACAATAGTCACTAGTGAGCAATAGCACTTTCCCTATCCCTATTCAGTTAAATAAATTAGTACAGATGGGAGAACATTACAGGCTGAAGCCTCCAAATCCTCCTAAACCTGATGATGATGATGATGATATATTTTTTGGATTTTATTTTTCTCATAGAATAATAAATATAAAATTGATGGCCAATAATCGTAACATCAAAATCAAAGAAATTCAGTTTTAAGCACACAATTACTTGCTATATATGTTGTTGTCAATATCTCTGGATTGTGTCATGGAGTAATATCTCATGAAAGATCATTAATTAATCTTAAAACTGACTGTTTCTGACAAATTACGAAATATAAAAGTTAGAAACATATTTTTTATCACTGACCAAAGCTCACAGTATGGGATAAATCAAAAATAATCATTTTAAGTTTGCAGACTTCTAGTCTGGAATATTATATAATATAGATTGGGCTAACTGTATTTCAACATAAAAGGACTTCCTAGTGGGTACATGGGCCCTCTGGCATGGGCCAAACCAGGGATTTTCCTTTCACTTTGAAAATGAGTTGTAAACCATAGATCTATTTTTAAATATTAAGGGTTAAATTGTTTTTTATCCAAATTCTATTACTGTTGAACTATATATCTGCTTTAAATGGGCTTATTAGCCTTTTGCAGATTATTAATGCAGTTGTAGATAAATTCTAAAGGCCGACTTTCACATAAAATGCAACATGTGGACATTAGTCTATATCATTTTTATATCTTCATACAACTTGCAAAATTATTCATAATTAAATAATAATTTAATACTTAATTATCACTAGGTTCTTTGGAACAAACCAGATTGCTTTCTAGAGAGAGGTGCAGGTTTAATCTCTAGAGCACTAAACGAAACGTTCGTTGATTGACTATGACCAGAAATTTGGTGTAGTGATATCTTTTAAAACACTTCCGGAAGGGAAAATTTAAAAGCCCTGGCGAGTTGAGTGTTTTGTGAACTACCAGTGCTTCTGCCATAAGCAATGGATTTTATTGCACATTTATCAAGTTCAATATGAAATGAACATTCAAACTGACAAACTCAGTTGAAATCCTTTGCTCAGAAAAGGCGCCAGGTGAGAAAACAAATTACCAACTTTTTATTAATTTCTTACAGGCAACAGTAAGTTTTTTTCTTGACTAGATATCTACCTTTGTCACCTTTGGTCTTGAAAAATAATGAAATAATATGATACTCACTACATATCTGGTTACCAGTATGCAGGCCTGTCAACTTGGGAACACCTAACATGAGTGACTTGGAAATGTTGAACACCTCCCCTCAAAATGTGGACACCTTGGTCCAAATCTGGACACCTTGATCCAAATTTTGAACACCTTGGTTTAAATTTTATTACATCTTGCCAAATTTTGAACACCTCAAATTTTTCGCGCCGCGTTTCAAACATCCGTCAACGGGGGGGGGGGGGGGGGGGGGGGGGGGGGTAGGTACGAAAAATTTCGAACGGAATGCGTGACATATACATAATTCGCTTGAAAAGTCCGAACGAAATGCGTACATTTTTTTTCGGCGTTCGTATTTTTGCCGTGTAGACGATCTTTTTTAGAAATTTTTCTACAGAAATATTTTTGCGTGACAATTACCAGGTAAATTGCGTATTTGCGTGACATTTTCTGTCACGCAAAAATAACTGGCGTGACTTCAAATTCTTCAGCAAATGCGTGACAAATACGCAAATTGCGGGACAGTTGACAGGCCTGAGTATGTAATATGTCCTAATTTAGGTTACATTGTAAAACTCAGCCAAACAAAGCATAAATAACTTACTGATTTAAATTTTGACAGCTCTCGTTGGTATTTGGTTCCTTCATTTTGTCACTGACACAGTCATGTCTATTTCAATAAGTTAAAACTAGTCTCTAGCTTTATTTCTTGTCTGACATATCTTGTGACCCCCAACTAGGTGTAATTTCCGTGCATATTCATTATTCCGCCAACTACGTGGAAAATTGAATCATACGCATTATTATGCTGAGTACTAACATAGTATTCATGGCATTTTAGCACTAATTGAGTACTCATTTCAGTAAATACTAGTGCTAAATGAGCACTTGTGACATGATTACTGATTTATTGCATGTTTTAGTTAGTACTAAATGAGTACACATATGATTAGTGATAAAATAGCACTAATTTCATTGATGTTTCATTACTCAATGAACACTCATCTTTAACCAAACTCGTCTGGCTCAGTTATCTACTCCCTGATTCTGAAATGTCATAGATACTAACGGCGCAGTATCCAAACTGCGCGCATACTATGCACATAGTTTGAAACACTGTCAAACTGCCGGCATATTTAAAAATGGCAGATGGGGAGGACACGACTCCCAAAAGGATGAAAAGTACTGGAAATATAAGGTTAGATCAGACAGTACCATTATGTGGAGACTTATTACTTACTTTATGAGTAGGACTCAATTCTTTTTCCCGATTTCAACTTAGTTGTCTAAACATATAAGGTTCCTAAGGAGCTTTTGTGTTCAAAATATGCTGTGTTGCGTCATATGTCTGTTTGGCTCATGATCATCTGATTTGATACGAAGTATTTTGTATTGTATTTGAGAACTGGATTGAGATTTACTTACAAAACAAAACCCAAGTATTTTCTATTTCTGTTAAAAGTGCGACATCTTTTATCACAATGTGAGTATATCTATCATTGAATGGTGAAAACTAATTACAATTGAATGGTGAAAACTAATTATAATTGAACGGTGAAAACTAATTACAATAACCCAGATGCGAGTAGAAATAATCTTGATTTACGTCATTAAAAATT